AGTACACTGACACTGATGGAAGTGGTCACGCTCGTGTCTCCCCACAAAAATGTGCCCCGGCATGAAACTCCAATACAAAACAACAAATCCCTTTGCGAATCAGCCGTAACGATGGCTTTCGATTTTGTGCGGAGCTTTCTATAATGGTGAATTCCGCTCGCAGATCTCGAGCGCTCCAAAAGCGCTCCATTTGGAGCGCGCATATTCAGCTCGCAGATCTGGCTCAAGTTGGTCATCTTCCGCTCGTAGATCTCTAGCAGCGCCCGCTCCACGGAGCGCCCCAAACTCCGCCGAACTTGCTCTGCGGGATTTCACAGATCTCTCCGGAAATTGACAGAGCGGCCCACGTGATTTCCGTCTAAATCGGCGGTGCGCATGCGCGGCGAGGTTGGAGAGATCGCCGATCGGCGGGCCGGTCGGGCCACGGTCGGGTCGTGGAGTTGGATCTGTTCGGGTGCGTCGGTTGTTTACTCTGGACTGTGACGGCTCGAACGCTTCTACCTCGCGTAGATCAGGAATAAAAAGCCGGGAATGTGGAGCGTGGCAAATCGTAAGCGCTGACGTCTGTGATCACCGAGGAAGAACGAAAAAAAGAACGACAGAAAAGCCGGAGGCAGACGCAAGGTTAGGCCTATTCATTCTGCAGCCAGTGATTGTTTACCTTTTTACACTGCATTCCGTCGGCGTTTTCCCGTGAAATAAAGCAAGAAGTGGTTAGGCAACGACCGCGCAAGTGATGGTTTGTTACCTCTGTGTTTATTAAAGTCGTACTAGCAATCTGAACTCCACCGCTGGCAATCGCTGTCCGTGCCCCGCCGCTTCGAGGCGGCCGAAAGGTATGTGACGGTGCCGAACGCGGACGTCTTCGCTATTTGTGACATGGGCGCCGTGGTACGTATAATTCCGCCCGGCCTGTGTCGCGTGTTACTTCTGCAGCTAAGCAGTGACAGTCGTCACTGGTCGTCGGAAAGATCAGCCGGCTGAGGCGTTGGTGGGCTGGTCAAGTTCGAGCAGCGGCCATTTTGAACGGCGGAAGGAGAAGGGGTGGGGAGGGGTGTGGGGGAGGTCGCTCCAAAAATGCAAGTTTATCTTCCCCTCGTCGATACGGAGCGGGTCCCACGGATCGGAATTTCGCCTCCCTCGCGGATTTTGGAAAGCGCTCCAGATCTACGAGTGGAATTCAACATAAGACAAGGCAACTACACATGGGCTCCTATAATACTCAGCCTAATTAATTACATTCAACCTTGCCTCCTCGCTTGGTTCAAATAAATGAACCATTCTGTGATATTCTAAATCAAACAACCGTCTTTCAATGGAATGCAAATGGCCTTCGCTCAAAAAATGTCAGGCTTCAAACAACTTGTACGGACCCACTGTTTTCCACTATTAGCAATATCGGAGGCAGGAATAGAAGATGTTACCAAACTGAGACTTTCGGGATACTCGTACAGCACATCAGCGCGGACAAACGGAGTTAGTCGGGCTTTAATAGCTGTGCAAAATGATCTCGTTTCCAATGAACATCGAGTCCCCCCACATGAAACAAATGAATATGCATGCGTGACAGTACGCAACAAATCAAAAACATTCACGTTAATATCAGCATACATTCAGCCACAAGTTAAATTTGATATTAGACGTCTTGAGACTCTATTAGAGACTACACCCTCGCCTCATTTATTATGTGGCGATTTTAATGCTCACCATGAACTTCGGGGTGGCAGGTAATTGACTTCCGGAGCCCCTGTTCAAGGTACACAAACTTTATACACATATACACAGATGGACCAACAACTGATACTTCTTCATCTTCAGGAATTCATATCCCGTCTCTGAAAATCGTTGAGTCTTTCAGACTTTTACGGAAAGTGTCATCCACTGCAGCCGAACTCCATGGCCTTAAAAAGTCATCAACACATCTCGGCTTCTAATCTCCAACAAAAATGGGTCGTACTTTCAGACTCGCAAGCTGCACTGCAATGCTTAAAAAACCCTCTCTATAAAACAACAAATCAATCGTTAATTTCTGAACTTTTATATCTCCATGCGACAGCGATAGGCAATGGGCAGCACATTGTATTTCAATGGATACCGGGACACTGCGGCCTCCCTGGAAATGAAGCAGCAGATGCTGCTGCCACACGCGGACACGACATGGAGTTTGGTGAAGATATACCTTTTACAGAAGCAGACTGTCGCCAACTTGTTAATACACTAGGTAAGGATAACTTTCTTCGGACTTGGACATCGCCTGAAAATCATCATGCTTACTCCTACCATTGACCCGTTTACGAAACTTCCTTCCGAAAGGCCTTCCAAGGAAACTAGAAACGCTACTACATCGGCTAAGAATCAACGCGGCCTACACAAATGGCCGCAAGTTAAAATTTGGGATTTTATCTAGCCCCAACTGCAGTGCATGTGGAAAACCTGAAGATGTTAAACATATCATCTCCGAATGCCTGCTCTACAACACAGAACGTGCTAATCTTCTCATGTCCCTACCAGGTACTCCGACCGCCAACATAAACATATCTCAAATACTGCTGTCGCCAGGCGAACAATGAAAGGCTGTGAAAATGTTTTCCATCTTTTTGGAGAGTACAGGGTTGGTGGAGAGACTTTAGTGTTAAATATCTGTTTTAAATATGTTCTTTATTTAATGGAAAAGGTACCAACCAATGCATGACTGACATTCTCCGTCCGAACTTTCGTCTTAGAATGTGACCACGTGTGTGACAAACTATTCGTGACCGTGACTGTGATTGTGTCAGCGATTGCGGAGGACTCTTATACAGAGACAATTGAACACAGTTACCACTAGCAACTCTGCTACGCAATTTGTGTTATCACAATCGTGCCAAAGTGTGTACATTTTTTTTCTTCTTTTCCCTTCCTCTCATATTCTTTTCTTTCCTTCCCCACATCCCAACAAAGTAGCCAGTCAAGGATACGCCTTGGCTTACCTCTTTGTTTTTCTCCCTTTAAGCCTAATAAAAAAAAAATCATGTGTTTTCCTATTAAAATAATTCAGTTGATAGTCAGCGCTCGTCCCGTGTTTCTTCTTCGTCCACGTCTGTTGTTCGCGGTGTGTGCCAAGATGACTTCTGGAACACACAAAAAAAGAGTCTCGGGCAGAAGGGAGTTCCTCCTTCAGCTCTTCTCTCGTCGTGGCGTCTAGGAACCTGTTAAGGTTCCTAGACGGGCATTACAAACAAGGCGTTAGCGACATGCACCCGGTGCTCTTTGCTAATCGTTTGATTTGTTTTAAAATTCCTTTTCGTGACTTTTTCGACAGGAGATTGGTCTGTCTGATGTGATAATACTCCATTGAACACGAATAGACCAAGAAATTAGCGCCGAACTTTCGTTGTAGTATCCCTTTAAAATAGCGTGGACAGAGGCTTTGTGTACGTAAAGAAATAACGCCGATTGCTCATGCGCCGAGCCAAGCACGTAGCCAGGGGGGGATGGGGCATGGGGCCCGGACCCTCCCCTTCGAAATCTTCCATTTTGCTGGGACCTCCTCTCCCCCTCCCCCTCATACAGCATTGCCATGAGCGCCCCCCCCCCCCCCCCCCCCCGGAACAAAATCCCGGCTACGTGCCTGCGCCGAGCTCGAACCGCGATTTCGATTGGCGCGTGGTGGCAACGCTATTTCTTTGCGCACGCAAAGCTTTTGCCTACACTATACTCTAAAAGCCTCCAGTGATTCTCAGGCCCAATTTCCATTTACAATTGGTATGAAAACAAAACGGTAAAAAATTAAACATATAGCAACTACTCCCTGCAAATATTGAGAAAAAAAAAAAAGGAGAAAAGGTTTTTTTCCCCTTTTACTACTGCTTCTAGCCGCAAGTACATTTCAACCTGCAAATAGTAAAAGAAAAAAAATAGAAAGGAGACAAAGAAGAATGGGTGACGGTTACGCTTATATTTTTTCGCATACTGGAAGTGACGATATATCAAGATAGCGGCGCCTTTGTGAAAAGGGTACCTATATCCGCTAAAACCTCCATCAATTAAAATACACCCCCCTCCCCAAGTTTTAGGAACCAAACTCGATTCTGACATCATAAACTGCAAAAACGACCACCCGCAAATAAAAATAAAAAAATCCAGGTGTGACACTGGGCTTTAGCAGCGTTGGAGACAGAGTTGAGTCAAAGTTTGCCGCCATTTCAATCGACTGCTGCACGGAAACTACTCTGACTTATCCATTCGAATATAGAACCGCGTATTGCTAACTTTCTCGGCACTTTTTTTTTTTGTTCTGGTGTTCCACGCGCATGCCTTCCCCGTATAAAAGATTCAAGGGAAATAACCAAAATAAAGCATTGACGAACGCGCGTGCAAGATGCTATTTGTTTTAGGTATTTACTTTAGAAAAGTTAGTACTGCTGAGGCCAGCACGTGCTGCACAGGCCAGCGCGTGGGACACAAATCCCTGCATTCTCCTTGATGCTTGTCTATCGAGGCTACGAGATTCTGGAATTCTCCAGACAAGGGCAGAGGCTCCAAGGCAAAACGCTGGCTACGGGCCTGGCGAAAAAGTCGGCGAAGAATTCGGCGGCCGTGATTAGCACCGGACAAACACGGCGGGCAAATTTCTTGCCCAATTTTTCGCCGCGTTCAGATTAGAGCCCATACACTGGTGGAGGGTTAACCGAGCTTTCGGCTGCACGTCAAATGTTTCCCAGGTAATCGAAATTAATCCTCACTCTTCCGCTGGAGCGTGGCAGATGCCCTTGGCGTGTTTGGCAGCTGAAACTCCCATATTTGACCATACAAGGCTATAATGCCGCACATAAGCAATAGCGGCAGAAGGTGAAACGTGGTCTACAACGTTTTAATAGATTGTTTCAATATACCTTCGATAACAATACCCGATACTCCGCCGACGCCTTTGCGAACGCATCGTTTCGTTATCGCCCTCCCTTCCCTCGGGAGCATCCTCCTCTCCCATCCGACGTACCTGGACAGCGGCGACGCAGAAGTTGGGATGACAAATGACTTTATTGAGTGCAGCACATAAACACCACAAATATGGGGATCGAAAAACGGGAAGAAAGGAGCGAGCTCAGCGGTGATGGCGGTCCCTGCTCCGAGACCGTCTGCTGCGGTGCCGACTCGAAGAGCGCGACTTCTTGCGCGGCGATCGACTCCTGCTCCGCGTCGACCTCCGCGGGCTCCTCCTCCGCGGAGACCGCGAGCGTCTCCGCGGACTTCTGCTCCTCCTCCGCGGACTCCTCGAGCGTCTCCGCGAGGCCACGGGGCTCCTCGACCTCCTCCGCGGACTCCTCGAGCGCTTGCGAACGGGGCTTCTTCGGCGGGGGCTTCTGCGAGGGCTTCTGCGGGGACTTCGCGAACGTCTTCGGGGGCTGCGCGAACGCCTCCGCACCGGACTCGGCGACCGTCGGCGGATCGGACTGGGCGATCGCCGGCGGATGGGACTGGGCGATCGCCGGCGTATGGGACTGGGTGACCGCCTACGGATAGGGCTCGGCGAACGTCTCCGCGGAGGACTGGGAGAACGCCGGCGCGGGCTTGGAGATCGTCGTCGCGGACTCGGGGAACGTCGGCGCGGGCTCGGAGACCGCCTCCGCGGAGAGCTCGGGGATCGTCGCCGCGGAGGACTCGGAGTACGCCGCCGCGGAGGACTCGGGGTGCGTCGCCGTGGACTGATGGAGTGTCTGCGCGGACTCGAAGATCGTCGGCGGGGAGTCGGGGAACGTCGGCGCGGGCTCGGCGACTGTCTGCGAGGGCTTGGGGAGCGCTTGCGAGGGCTCGGCGAGCGCCTGGGGCTGCCAGAGCGTCTCGAGGGAGACGCCGATGAACGCCTCGGGCTACGGGAGTCCTGGCGGGCTGCGCGTGGGGATGGAGTCCTCCTGCAACACAGGAAAGGGTTCGAGCAAGCTATCGAGAAGGCCTCATTCATTCTGGCACAAAATACTTGGGGGTGCCGTACAAAGGCACCAACTCCTAATAAGGTGCCTGGAACACTTCTTTAACTAGTGTGATTACCATATCCTTGTTTTGTCCGGTGTAACGCTGCAAACAGAATATCCTGGGGGTAAATACAAGAATATGCCTCCACATCCTGCTCTCGGTCAATCAAAGTTGAAAGGGGGACCAAATGCTTCAAATTAAACATACTAAACTATTGAGCACTTAGAAACTATAAATGGCTTTTGACCTTGGCTCATTTTCACTAATGTATGCTCTGCAAATCACTAATGTATTTAACGGCATCATCGGCATTTTCTGTGACGGCCAGTACGCAAAGCAATGTGACAGTTCATGGCCTAACCACTTGCATGAGTTAACCGTCTGAAAGCAGATCACAGACCACAATGTGTTCGTTCACACTAATGTGTTCGATGGACGAAACATCTCAAGAGGGTGGGCAATTCCTCAAGCCCAGCTTTGCTGGCCGTGCACCCCGCCACCCTGCTCACCGCTTTTGTAGGGATGGCACCAAGAACAATCCGCGATGAGGTGTCTCAGTGGTACCCTCTTATGATTTGTCTGCAATGGCACGACCACAATTTGCCTCGCCGCGACGTCACGAGTTGTGACCCAGGCTACCATCAGTTGCAACCACCAAGTTCCATGATGTGTGTAAAAATTACAGTAGAAGCTCGAAGCCATCACCTTCTTCAAACTACACCGTCAAAGGTGACTGTCTGACGTTGCTCTCATTCCCTTTCATAAAAGCAGAATTATGCACACTAAATGTGGGCTTGTTTGTAAACACTAGCTTCATTCAATTGATCTGCACCCCCTCCTGCACTGGTGCAGAAAACTGCAGGGCAGTGTACTTCTTGTATGCGTATTGAGATACGACCGGAAGGATACCGCCTGCCTTTTCTGCACTGGTGCAGGAGGTGCGTGTAAATCCAACGAAGCTGGTGTATTGGTGCATACCACGCATAGTGGCCATGCCCACTACCATGCTTGGCGTTCGGAGACGTTCGGCTTAGCAGCACTTGATCATTCGTGCTTCTTCACTTTTCCCGACCATGTAAACAGCAGATAAAAGGAATGAAGCGTGCATGGTGGCATTTTAAGTGTGGTCATCATAATAACCAGGCTTTTTCCGGCCCTTGGAGCTACCGGACTAGTAGCATCCACACAAAAACATTCGTAAATTTTTTTTCACTATTGTTATGGTCCCCAATGAGTAACCCAAATATTAGGCCAAAATTATCCTCTGTGAAGTTACTGAATGTACAACATTGGTGCTTAGTTTGTTTGTTTTTCAAACAAGGTTGACAGGCAACAACAAAAAAGTTATGCCAGCGGAAGGCAGGGGTTTACTTTTTGGGCAGTACAATTTGTTCTCAATATATTACAATCAGTTTTATGGTGCCCAATGAACGCTTTGGAACCTCGCTTCAGGAACCACACAGCAGCTAGAACCAAGTGCTCAGCAAGTGCAGGTTTTTAGACTGCCCGTGAGCCCGCCTGCCAGTGACATCACGGCACTGAAAAGTGCAGGTATATTGGAAGCCTTCGATTTCAAAGTAACTATTCTGAATTTCGCGACACTAAACAGTGTGCCGGAAAGGATAAAAAAAAAAAATCGGTTAATTAAAAAATGTAATTAGTAGGGGTAGGTCAAAAACATCCCCACAGCCCCCTTTAAGCACAGCGTTACAGCATTTTGTTTCCTCATAGACGTCTATGTAAGGTTGCCAGGACCGCACTCGTCCTTTGAACTGACCTCAAATTTAAACAAAGTGACTGATTGCGGGGAGTCGACCAACATGCTTTGAAGCTGAAAAAATCTTCAACAGCCGCAGGTTGGCACGCCTACAATGCCAGCATCTGCATGTTTGCTTTACAAGCCCTTCTAGAACGAACCACATGAACCCCAATAACATGGGAGGTCCCGGGATGCGTGCTGCTGAAAGCACAGGATAATGAAACATTTGCCAGAGATCCGTTCCAGGCACCAACTTTGTTTCCAGTTAAATGCTGGTTTTCTAGCGCTGGCAAAACGGGAATCATGAGGTTACTCCAAAGACATAATGAAACAAAAACAAATATACACTATACTTTGAAAGCCTAACTATGATCTTAAACGTTTACAATAAACAATATTAAGCTTTGCTTTGAAAAGATTGCTACAGCTTTCACTATAAATGTCCCACTCTGCCAAACATGTCAAAAGCAGACACCGAAGCACAACGTGTTCCTTGGGACTCTCCTAATGCAACTTATCTATGCATGGCCGAGCCTGATTACAAGCTTCACCGCTTGGCGGCATCACCTCACCACCACCACCTCACCAGCCTGAAGGCGCTAGAACTAAACTGTAATACCAGCTCGTACTCGAATGTGGGTGTGCACTTCTGCCCAATTGCTGCTACCGGTATAACATGGAGGAACAGTAATTACCTTCAAGATGCTTAGTATTCTCTACTAAGTTTGATTTGGCGATTGTAAAATTTAGTCTACATCATACTCCCACGATTTCAATTAAATGATTTGCATTTCTGAAATGGTTCCGTCCAAAGTTAAACAAGGAATGAAACGTAAAAAGCCTCGGGGGCCACATCACGTGACGATACAGATAGAGCGACGCTGGATACGTTTTACAACACAGAGGCACAATTCTTTTCATTCTCTAATATATTTATATAGGTGTGGAGACCATGCGTGTCAGTCAATCAATCGCCTTCGTAGCGAGCGGCCTCACCAGATGACTTTAATAAGTGGCTAGTGTTACCCTGTTGCAGGCATGGTTTCCCATGCTTCTTTCTCCACGAGAGGCACGCTTGTTTTTGAAGTTGTTTTTTTGTTGAGGCACACGGTGTAGAACTTGCCACTCGCACTGTGCATGTTGTTTACAAGAATGTGTTGAAGAGGCAGTTTAACGAATGTATTGAAGCAGACATTTCTGGCGTAGTGTTCAAGTCGGCGTTTGTCGAGATAAGAGCAGACTCGCATACTGGCAGCGTCTGTGCCCCAGTGCCATAGCGACGAGACACTTTTTTAGAGGGCGGCTCTTAGGTGCCTACTTCCGGGTGGAGCGGCATCGGCGTAACCGCACATTGCATAATGGAATGTTTCCCTCCTAAAGTTAGCGGGGAAATTTCCCCGCTAAACCTAGCTGCAATATTTTCCTTACGTTTAGCGGGAAACTTAGCGAAAATTTCCCGCTAAATGGAAGGGGACCAGGAGAGGAGGAGGGGAGCGTACAGAGGGGCAACCCTCCCCTCCTCAAGAGCTGTACTCAAATTCGGCATTACAGAGAATTGTAGATGCTGTTTCTTTTCCTTCTCAGTTGCACCTTTTTTTTTTGCTTAGTTCTGCTATGTGGCCAGCGGAGACGCTGTTGGCATAGGCTACTCAGGAACATGCCAATAGGACTTAACGCAGTCGATCGAGTTGCAGCATTCGCTGTGCTGTGCGTCCTCGCCCAGAAAGCACCTTATGCAGTGCTCTGGAGCTAGATCGCACAAATAAACACTGCCGAAGAACACGAGTCACCAACCTCTGGAAAGACGGCGAGCGGTATCCGGCCGGAGGGGTACGCCTCTTGGGGCTCTGGGAGCGAGGCCTCGGGGGGCTCAGGGGAAAGCCAGACATGGCCAGCTTGACCAGGCGGCTCTGGATGCCTGTGATCGGGGGCCGGGCCAGGCCGTTGGCCGGGGCTGCGGCCGGCGTCCCGTTGGGCGACTGGGGCCTGGCCGGGGTGCCGCCGTCCGTGGCGCTGCCGGACTCTGCCGACGACTGGGACTCCGAGGAAGGTACGGCCGGCGCGGTGGTCGCCGTTGTCTTGGCCATTCTTTTCAGCTTACGCTTCTCTTTCTTGAGCTTCTTCTTCTTCTTACGCTCCTTCTTCAGCTTCTTCTTCTCTGCAAGCAAGCAGAGCGGTGGTGTGTCAGCCGTCGGAGCGGCGCCGCGCCGACGTCGTTCTGTGGGGGCTCTCCTCCTCAGCAACGGCCTCGTGACAGCACCAGAGAGAGCTCGGCCCCGCTAGCCTACGCCCACCCCCCTCCCCTGCAAGGCGGCACGCGGTGGCGGTCCCCCAGCGGCCCTCTCACCCTTCTTGAGGCGCCTGGCGTACTCGGGGTCGTCGGCCTGCTCGGGGCCCGACCGGCGCCCCTCCTCTTCTTCCCCGGCGGACTCCTCTGCCCGGCGAACCTCGGGAGCGCAGCCGTCCCGGTGCAGCCTGGCCATCAGAGCGTCCAGGTCGTCCGAGTCCTTCGGCGGCCTGTAGTTCTCCACGTGGTCGACCCGTAGGGTGCGCTGGCACAGCTAGAAGCGGGGCACAGGCCGCGCCCGTCGGTCAGCCGCCCCGCTGCCCCCGCCCCGGAAAAAGACAGACCCCCACGCTCTCTCTCTCGTCGGGCCAGCGGCCCCGGCTGCCACGCTACTAGCCGCCCCGAGGAGGAGAGCTCGCACTGCTCCCGCCGGGCTCCCGTGCCGAGGTCCGTCCCGGCAGGCGGCGGCGGGACGTCACGGGCCGAGGGGCCCGCAAGAGCGCCCGCCGCGGGGGGGCGGGCCCGACAGGGGCCCGCCGGGGAAGGCCCGACCGTCGCCGCGTCGGGGCGACTCCAGTCCAGGCCGGCGTCGCGGCCGCCGTGGGCCGCCGTGGCGCTCCGGCGCAAACGCCACGACGGCGAGCCCCCGAGAGAAGACATCCCTTCCACCGCGGGGGGAAGGGTGCCCCTAAAGCGCCCGCTGGTGGCAGGGCGGGCGGGCATAACCCTGTGTCGCTTCTTTTGCGACTCTGCAAAATGGCAGTGTGCCAAGGGGCGGCGTCAAATCTCCCGCCGCACGCATCAGGCACTCAACGCTCTTGTGCGCGCAACAACCCCCGGCGCCTCCGGTGGCGCGCAGAGCGGGCCCCCCGTTTTGCCCGTATGGGCCGGCGCCGCGCCGGGGGGCTTACCTGCGCCGACGAGGCTCCAGGGGACGGGGAACCCCTTCTCGGCGCCTCCATGCAGGGCCGCGGTAGGCCCACGAAAAGAGTGGTTTTCAAAGCGCGAGCAGACGGCACCCAAGTGCCACCGTGTCACCCCCCCCAAGGTCGGCTCAAACCGTGCAAAATCCACGGGTGACGAACGGTCAGCCATCTTGGGGGAGGGAGGGCTCGACGCTAAGTCGGGGAGGTGTGGCCTCCACTGTGCACTCAACCGCAGCTAACGTGACATACCAGTCTCCTTGTCTCACTCTGGGCCAATCGCGTCTTGACGAGTAATCGAGCTGGACGGGTATCCTCGCAGAGGGCATTCCCAACCCAGAAAGCTAAGAGCAGTGTTTGTGGCTCGGGAGGGAAGACAAACGCGTCCTAGTAACTCAAGAGGGCTGCTACGACACATTGCCCCGGCCACTGCTTTTGCCAGAAATGTTGGTGGTCATTTGTTAACTGCGGTTGATCGCACGCACATAGAAAATACAACTGTGAGCATGACCCCAAGCTCTCGTACCGGGCCAAAAATGCCTCCGAAAAGCCCTGGCAGAAATCCCCTGACTAAGCTGGGAAGTTTAGATCTTGGTCTTCAACGTACGAGGCAATTCTAAGCCCCTCCATAAGTAGCATTTCTAAAACGATGAAGAAAGGCTTCTCTCGCTTGCAATTGTAGCATCCGAAACACTAAAGCCATTGAATGTTCTCGAGAGTACTGACTTTTACCTCGGCTGCTGGAGAGAAATTTTGAGTCGTGCAACAGCCCAATTGAAGTATGCAAACAGAGGGATAAGGAACTGGAATTAACGAGTTCGGCAAAACAGCATTTTTGAGACGATTTAGAAAGAATTTCCACCTCAAACATTTTGTGCAACAAGTAGATGGATGGTAGTAATAGCTACGCCCTTTGTATGGGGTGGTAGCTTCCTCGACTCAGCCGAAGGTCCACAAATCTACCGACCATAGCAGCCACTACAAACACTAACTTCGATTCAAATTTTCACTCAGTATCTCTTTAAATGAGAGGTTTGTCCATTTAGTTTTCTACACCTCAATGCCGTTCCTCTCTTGAGTAAAGACTTGCTTTTTATAACATTTTTAGAGCGCAGCTCTTAGGCGCCCGTTTCCAGCTGGAGCGGCGTCAGTGTAACCGCGCGGTGCATTATGGGACACGTGACGTCACTGATGACGCCATTGGCATCGACATCGTCGCTGATGACGTCATCGGCATCCGCATCGTCACTAATGACGTCATCGGCACTGATGAAGTCATCAACAACGTCACTGATGACGTCATCATCACATGACCTCATAGGGGTCACGTGACCTTCGTGAAGCAACGGTGACGCCGCTCGGAAGGAGGAGTAGCAGACAGGATGAGGAGGTGAGGAGGGAGGAAGGATATACCTTCCCCTCAGTACCCTTCCCCTCCTCAAGAGCTGTGCTCTAATTCGGCGTTACAGGGAGTTGTAAGCGGCTTTAATTGTTTAATTAATGTTTACAATTTTTTTTTTTTTTTTCAGCTGCTCGGAGCAAAGGTAACTTAGATTGATCTAATGCCACCCCCCAATGAATGGATCGTCCAGCGATGACGATCCAGCCCGAAAGATTGTACTCTGCAAATATCCAGCGACTCTAGCACAAATGCGCACGCCAATGGCTTGCAGCGAATCAGCGTGCCTCACAGCAACGAGTACTCCCCAGCACGTGTTATGCGGAACTAAATTCCTGTCATAGGGCTCATTCTTAGTAAGCTATCATACAATAGACACTGAACGCTTAAGAACAGCAGAGAGCAGCCAGCCCAAACCCCCCTCGCTTTCTGTCGGCAGCCGACGAAATACCAATTGTCAGTGGCCGATCGGGAGGCGAGAAATGCTGTAATGATTAGCCATACCCTGTTGTTCCAAAGCTTTAAATAACTACAAAAGACAACTGGTCTTCCAGCTAAGACAAACACTTCCGGACTGCCAGCTACTCGGTATTACTAAGGCCCAGACAGATCCAAATCTACTTCTGCAGCGTTTGCCTAAACTGTTTAACCCTACGTGCGAGTGTACCAGAAGCTACGAGCGTGAAAACTTCGCCCTGACCTAGGCTTGGACCGTACAAGCGTGCGTGCCCAACTGACACATTCGAAAGAGCTCGATCATGTTGCTTCTGCAATGCTCGCAAGTACAGTCAAGTGGAGTGAAGCTCTTTCTTTTTCCTTCAGCACAAAGGCATCCCTGAAAAACTCAATCGCTCGGAAGCCCCGGAAGGCGCCCCCAAGACGACGAATCCAGGGGGCTTACCGAAATTCCGTTCAAATTGTCAACAGAGAGGACCGTGCTTCGCTGGTCCTCGAAGCACAGGAAGCAGTAGCCCTTGGACTTCCCGGTCTTTTTGTCCCGGATCAAATTGATGTTAACGATCTCTCCGAACCTGCAAAGGCCGTTAGCCTACTGAACGTCGCTGAAGAGCACGAGCCACGTCGCGCTGGAGCGAAGCCAGGAAGGGCACTCTCGCTCCCAGCGGACTTACTGGGAGAAGACGCAGATGATGTCGCCCTCGGTGAGCTCGTAGTCCAGCCCCCCGACAAAGATCCAGGCGCTGTCCTTGTACTTCTTATGCCAAGATGTTTTCTCGTTGATGCCAAGCTTTAACTCGGTCTCGTTGAGTTTGGTGATGTTCTTCACGTTGCTGCGGGCAAACGAAAAAAATAGAAAAAATCTGTTGCTGAAAAAACTGGCTACGTTCAAGGGCCTCTTTGGGAGTGACCGAATCTTTAATCCACCGCTTCTTAAAGGGACAATGAAGACAATTTTAATAAAGGGACAATGAAGACTATTTTAATTAATTTTTTTAAATGGTGTTTTTAGGCTTCTTGGGAACCTAGCACGCTGGCCGATTCTTTTAAAACATTTGTGACGCATATTTTTGTGCCTACGAAAAAAATGAAGAAACCGAAACTGAACTATCTCCGTTCTCATTTCTGGGCCTCCGAAAACTGAGGTGACGTGGGGAGTGTTGTCAAGAGTGAATGTCGGTATCGGTAGTATTTAGGAGATTGAGACTCTGGTTACCGAGGTGGGTTACAGCAGTGCGGTTGTTTCGTCGAATCTGTCAACATGGACGACAATGCTGCTCTCGCAAGCGAGTTCGAGTTTCCGTTTAGTGACCTAACATCAACGGAACGAGAGTATGCGTTTGGCGGCTTCCGCCATCACCTGACGGAGATCGCCCAGCCCGCAACAAACGGCCCACAGGCTCCGAAGAAGTGAGCAACATTCGAGCAAGCGACACGAGAGTGACAAGTTGCCGAAAGACAGGGATGCGGGGGAGATGCCAAGGGAAAAGCTGCAGTGATGAAGCCGTTCCGGGAACCGGTTCTTCCGTGGGGGACACTCCCCAAGAAGGAGAAAATAACCAGTATCATTTTTGGTTTTCACCCAAGTCAGACGTCCTCTCTTTTCGTCGTCAAAGAACACGTTGCCCATAGTTGCTCGGTGCCCGTTTCGCGTCCAGCATAACGAAGAGAAAAACAATTATGCTGTTTTATTTACGGTTTAGTAATCATTTCCGGTCCGATTTATATTTTTCATGGTTATTCAAGCGGAAATTAGAACAGTATTCCTAAAAATCGCGAACGAAAACGTGACCGTGGGCACGTCTCTCGTATCGACCAATCACTGACGCGTCTCTTGTGACGTTGCGCTTCTTGGACCCGCGACGGTCACGTGAGCTCTGCTTCTCCAGCAACACTCGGGGCGTCGCCCCAGTCAAACTTGGTATGATTATTGCTGCAACTGTTTAATTGATATGCGCGGCACACAAGCGCCAGCTTCGGCTGAAGTTTGGGCAACGTTGCCTGAGACGTGCCTGGAACCCAGTTCAATTGCCAAAAAATTATCCGAAATTGCCTTCATTGTCCCTTTAAACAACTTTTTTAATGCCTAAGTAACATCGTAGGTTCCAGGGTGAAAATTTATATCGCAGTAGGAAAGACATGGGTTGGTCGAGAACGCAAAAACCTCCCTAAAAATATTTTTTTGTTGTTGTTCAATGTAATAGATTTTTTTTTTAAAAGTGTGCACCACCTAGTAGTTGCTGAGCGAACCATTGGAATCAGCCATTGCTTGGGCACATAATCTGTGCACGTGTTCAGACAAGAAGGCTGCGTCAGCATTAAGCGAGGACTTTGCTTGGATCGTGTCGAGTGCTGCATTGGCATTTGGCAAGGACTCCCATTCAATTGAGCACTTTGTGCCCAAGAAATGGCGACCGCCAATGTTGCTCAACGGGATTTTGAAAAGGATCCATTACGAGCGGTAGATTGTGTTCAATCGCAGAACTGGCTATCAAAAGATTGCTTTCAATACCTCAATAACAGCTGCGTATTATGTGGAGCTTTAGCTCGTGACAGGATAAGAACCCAGTAGGCGCTCCGCTTCCAGTGCGCGCTTATTGCACTTCCGCCACGCTTCTGCTGCGCGTGCGACAAGTGCTATCAAAGGCTGAAAGCTCACGCTCAGGGCAGAGCATCTACTAGGTTTTTAGCCTATAACCGGCTACTGGGGAGGAGATCAGACCGTGGCACCCCAAGCGGCTAACTTTAGAAGTACATGGATGGAGACAACAAAAAACGACTCGGTGCTCGAACGCCTCATCAGCGTTCAGCGTGTTTGTGTTCTCTGGTCGCCCAAGGGGGAGGAGGGGCTCTCTTATTACCACTCTAACCTGCATGAACAATGCAGCACGCATGGTGCAAATGCCCAGCTAAGCACAAAAACCGGAGTGGGTCAAGCTCACATTCCTTGACAAGTGCTTTCGGAAGAGATCCGGCACTAAGAATAAATGTCACTTCGTTTATTGTTAGTACTTTTACGTTACACTGTGCTTTGAGCTCTATTGAAGACAACAACATGGGCATGCGGACATGTCCACAGGTCTTGTGTTGGTAAACACTGGGGTGCGGGGACAACAAACGGGTCAAAGCACCCCCTACAGTTAGTTCGATCTCCTTGCCAATAGTGAAGGCTGCAGCAGAGACTTGAGCACGCGAATATGTCCGCAGCTTCTTTCAGTGGTAAAAACCATCAAACGTTTACGACCCATCATAGACAGATATTCACAACTTTCATGACCTATCCATGGCTTGCAATGACGTCACTTGGTCAGACATAATGGGAGAAAGGGTGAGCGAGAGGGTAGTTTTTGCAGTGTTGACAAGACTGCTCTTGCCAGCAGAAAGAGGGGCAGATTTGGGGGGGAAGGGGGCATGAGAGCGTCTTCCGCTGCATTAATGCGTCTGGCCACCACAAAAAGGTCGAACTGACGCAACATGCAGGCCATCTATAAAGGGTGGACTGCCACGCGTTAAAGCGGCCGACATCTGGACGATTGTTGTAGAAGAGCAGTACGAGGAACTAGGAAGCGCGATTCTTACACTGCAGTACCACCATCGCTGAACGTTAAGATCTAGAGCAGCCCCACATGTTCACTAATTAACCGATTTTTGAGTTTATGCTGCAGCAAAGTTCAGGCACACAAAACTTCGATACTAGGGTAGTATATGGCAGTTGTTCACAGAGTTTTTCTACCGTTTGCAGCCAGATAACGGAATTCTAAAATAATGAAATCACAGACTGCCGCTTTTAAAGAAAAGCACTACACACAAGTAAGCACGGAAAGATTTGACACTAAAACTTCAACAGTAGCGCGCATTGCTGAAATCAAGTTTGAAACGTTTCAGCCTGCGAACCCAGTAAAGCAAAGCCAACACTGGAGTAGCGCGTACAGGTAAACGATAAAAAGTGCTCGCAAAACTTCGCACAAAAACATGCCGGTATAGTGTTAAGCAACCTCTACTATTTAAATATTTCACAATGCAATACTGCAAACGATGAAACGGCTGTTTTCCGCGCCTACGGTACACAGAACAAGACCCGCCAAGACCGACGAGTCTTGCAAAGCCAGGCACTCTTGTAAGAACCGGGCATTTTTTTCCCCTCCTTAGTCTTACCAAAGGCAAATATATCATCCAAAGGACCCTACCTCTTAAATCACGTTTCGCGGCGACAAATCTTTAGTCTACGCACTCTTCCTTTGCGCTTACCTCGTAGCGAAGACGCTCCTGCCTACTGCGCGGCAGTAACGCTACAGCGGGCGAAAAATCGATCAAAGCGCGTTCTCCATCTTTGACCTCTTCCCATATCGACCACGTTAGAGGCGGCGTGTGCGGCAAAGCTAGGCGAAAGCGGCGCGAGCGGACGAAAAAACGTCCTAACACGTTCCTTGGGACATGTTAAAATGTAAAACTTACGTCAAAGGATTCATGTGAAACCTTCGCCAACGGTTGCGTCGGTTCTGGCCTTGCTGCTGCTAAGCCTCGCGCGATCTTGTTCTCGGTTCTCGTCGCACACCGCACAAGCACACCACCTGGCACATCTGGCACATTTCAAAACTTTCGCGTGTTAGTGCGCGTGCTCAAGAACGCATTATTGAACAAATTTCTATTTACCATATTATATTTAACGTATATTTAACAAAGCAAAATTAATTTTTAGTATTGATTTGATTTAGTGGTGCATTAAGCAGTTATAATAGTATTATGTAGGAACTACTTTCTTACGCGCCACTGCTGCCTTACTGCTACCCTCTTGCCCGTTTTGTTATGCTCATTATTGCTTGTTTCGATGATTTTTTTTTTTTTTTTTTTGCTTGGCTGGTGTATTGGTGAAGGCTTCCGCGAATAAGATCGAGGCGAAAAGACAAAAGCTTTGCAAAACACATGTCTCATATGTTCTTCCGCCTCGGTTTTATGATGCAACTCGTGACGCTGGGCTGGGCGGCTAGGCCTGCTAGGACCAAGAGTTCAGTTCATAATGCATTTATTGGCCATAATCTAGGGGGAAAAGGAGAGGGAGGGCGTCTGTAACTACGCTGTCTGGACGCTGGGACGAACTAAAAGGGAAGGCAAGCTAAGCCAGCTGTGGGTTTTTCTTTATTTCTTTTATATTTTTTTTTCTTACCGCGTGTACATTAACGTTTTGCTCTCACTCGGACGGTCGGCAAAAATCGTTTTGTCAACATATCGCGTTGGGATTTACTACAGAGGTGCCCAAAATAGTGCATTCATTTGGGAGTATGAAGACATGAAACCTCCGGAGCCAAAGAAATAAAATAAAAACTGGTTTTGTCTACAGAAAAATTATAGCTAAAACCTTTTTCCTCGAAATTAAAAAAAAAAAAAAAAAAATCGTACTTCTTGACTTCGGTGTAATCCCGCAACGTTTTCTGCAATCCGCTGCGAGATCCGGGACTCTGCAAGCTAAGGCTAGCACCGCGCATGCGCAGTAGTGACGTCTTCGTTCCGGAGGGTGCAGCGGAAGCGGGATAACGGACTAACTCCCTAAACTTTACGCAATTTTAGTGTGCAGCACACCGTGTTATACATCGAGTTACAAGGATAGTTACATCTAAGGACTTTAAGCCGACTAGACCGTGGTTAGTAACGTAAATGCCAATGTTTCCTTGTCTGTCCTTCGCGCTGTCGGAGAAATTCCCGAGAGCACAGAACTGACCGACCGACCGACAGAACAGAGTGAAGGCACCTAGCGGCGCTCTACCCCCGATTTACATGATGCGCATTCTGTGTCATGGCCCATGTCATTAGTGCCGCAGTCGACTCGTTAGTCGTCCCTCCTGCGGTCACTGAGGGTACGAGCTGCTTCTCCGCATAGCCTCCGAGATCCCGAACGAGCGCGAACGCGCGCTTCGGGATTTTGAAGGCCATGTCAGATCAGCCATGTTTTCTGTTGTCTGGGATGCGTTCATTTTGGAACTGCGAAACGGGCTGCTACCAAGTTCAGAGTAATTTGAATGTGTAGTGTGGGCGTGTGGCGTGGTGGGCTTGGCGCTTGGCCTGGTCGGCCTGGTTCTTATTTGGGAGCTTCTTTTCGCTTTTTATATGTGATGATCATGATAGCAACGCAACGTAGCAACGATAACTGCAAAATAAAAAAAAAAAATGTTTGGCAGGTGTTTTTTTTGTTTTTATGTCTTGTTTTGTTTTTAATAAAACGAGGCTAGGCAGATGTAAGCGCTAATATTTTTAATAATTCTAAAACAACAAATAGGGTGGTTTTGGCGGTTTCGGCCGTTTTGGCTAGAGCACTATATAGCTCCTTCGGAGCAGAGTAGCGCAATCTAGAACGCCGCCTCTCGGCGACTAGCGGCGAACGCCAGGAGGTTCCAACTGCGGTCAGAAATGCATGGAGAACGTGAGAAAATCGTTGTTTCTTCAGTGTTGTGGGAACGTACGGCATCGCAATCATTTTTGACATAATAATGGAACACTTTAGAATAATTTGCGCTAAGTGTTGTGCCCCGCAAGGACCTGACTTTTTTTTAAAAATTGCCTGAGCGGCATCATGCAGCAGACGACACGGCGACGTCACACCATTCACGTGACCCGCTCCGGCCAACCCGAAAAGCCCATCTCCGCTGCGAGCAAAAATCGTCTGCTTCAAACGCCATTGCCTTGGAAATTGCCTTCTCAAAATTTGCACACGTATCCGATATTGTTAAAACTTTGATAAAGTGTTTAGTGCTTTACTAACTTCACGACAGCCTAGTTTTGAAAAGTGTGAACTCGCCGTTCATTTTTTAATCAACCGTGTTGTGTCGATCTCCATGTATTCTCCCATAGGGCGGGCCGCCTCCTGGAACCCTGAGTACCACGTGACTCGCGCCGAGCCGCTCTGTCGGCCATGTTGTCGGCAAAACACGGAGTTCAAAGGATTGCGCTACTCTGCTCCGTAGGAGCTATATAGTGCTCTAGTTTTGGCCTCCTTGGGTTTTGGGGTGATGTTGGCTTTGGATTCATTCTGACTACAGCCGCCAACTTGACTGTTTGGCTTGCGTGCATGTGTCTGTAGAGTGGTGGTTTCTGTTTCTGCGATGCGGTTCGATCAGTTCGATGTTTAACCAGTTTAACCGTTTAACTGTGAAGAGTGGCGAATACGGACTCTCTAGGGAAAAGGAGTTTTATTTTCCCACAAAACTTGCTGAACAGCTGAGGCGAGCATGATCAAGCAAGCTATATGCTCTTGGAGCCGGTATTTGAGCGCGAGACGATTGTTGTTTTCCTACCGGTCCCTGCGGTACCTCGCCAGCGCTACCAGCTCCTACAAGTGCGATGCCAACGTCAGGGTCCGATTTGCACCCAGCCCCACGGGCGAAATGCACCTAGGCAGCCTCCGAACGGCGCTTTACAACTATCTTTTTGCAAAGAAACACGGCGGGCAGTTCATCCTGAGGATCGAGGACACGGATCAGGTAGGCCGCGGCTCCCTTTTCTGCCGCCACGCGTTCCCCTGGGGTGCTATGTTGCGCTTTTTGGACTCCCAGGAGACTTGGAAGAGGGAAGTGACGTCAACGACTAGAGCAAACGCAGATGGGATGTTGACAGAAGAAAACGAAATCAACACCCAATCTGCGTTTGCTGTGTCGTTGACGTCACTTCCCTCTCCCTAGTCTCCTGGGAGTCCAAAAAGCGCAACATAGCCCCCCTGGTTTACTCGGCAGAGGCAGGAGGGGTGGTGGAGACTTAGGTAAACAGCCGTCAGCGTTTCACACGTATACACGGATGCCGCCACGGAGATTTGCTTACTGCCCGCCTCGTCGGAACGCCACGTTTCCCGCTCAGCGTTGACCACCGCTCCCTCGGTGCTCCGCCGCTCCGTTTAGAGAGCGCCCCAAGGCCCGCCCGCGGAGGAGGCTCCGCCTTTTGGAGGCAGAGCCTCCTTTGTGACGTCATATGGCGCCGTACCAGCCACCATTTCTCCGTACCATGCTCCTTTGCCCGTACATTCTGCAGTATGCATTTCGTACCATCAAATTTGTTCTTCTCGCCAATCCTTGCCGAGAATAGCAAATTCGATGGTACCGAATGTATGCTGCAGAAGGTGCGGGCACAGGAGCACGGTGCAAAGCAATGGCGGCTGGTGTGACGTCAATGCAAGTTACGTATACCAAATCAATGCCTCCCCTTCTGTCCTCTACATACTTTGTTTTCATGAAGGCTGAAAAGCTTACTCGATGCCTTGGCTACTTTTCTCCAGTCTCTGCCACGAATAACGCGCATGAGTTGAAAACAGCACGGAGACAACCAGCCAGAGTTGGTCTCCGACGTCACGCCACCGCCGGTGGCGCTGTTGTCGGTGCCGCGAATGCACAGATGCTTCATCGTACGTAAATCTGGCCTCTTTGCACGCACAGTTGCCCTCACCTGGTGAGTGTAAATGCGGATTCTTTTGTAAATAACATTGGGTTCCCCAACTCTTTGAGACTGCCATTTGTACTTTGTTTTCTATCCCCCATTTATGTTTTCATTTGACAATACATGACTTGCATTGATGTCGCACATAAGGTGCCATTGTTGGCTGGTTTCGATGCTGAGCGCATACTTTTTTCAGCATACAATTCCCACCACCGAATTTATTTTTCTTAAAAAGAACTAATAAGAATGACCACCAGCTTGTTGCGATGATGCCACGTGCAAGGTATGTGGTATGGAAGTCTGTCTGCTCGCTGCGCACCTTGTGCATTTGTTTACCCCACCCACGTGCATTAGTTTCTCCTCGACATCAACCAATGATGGTGCGAGCATGGTTGCCTTGTTATTGCTGTGTTGCCCCTTGGTTGGCGTGCCCCTGCTTTCGTTCCGACGTGCCGAAGACGCATTTGAAGACTTGCTCGCCGTATAGTCAATGGCTCATGACTGAAATTTTGTACATTTCCTCTGCCAAATTACTCCAGTCTCCAGTCAGACAATCAGCACTTAAATACTATCTCAGAGGCTTTGTCGTGCATTTCAAGGCGCCATCCTTGTTTCAGAAAGCTTTGTAAACGCTTCGAGATTTTGTTGTGTTATGCATTTTGTTCGATCCGTTTAGTATCTTTCCTGGCTTCTGCTTGTGACTCCAAAGCCTGGAAGATCTATATTCTCTTACGCATGTTTCGTCCTCTATTTTGAATTTGTGTTGAGCTTTGTCAGTATTCTAGCATGTGGGTCCCTGTTAAAAGAAAAATAAAATGGATTGCACCAGGCGAGTTGTTTAACGCGGAATATGTTATTTGGCCGGTTCCTAGCAGTTTCTGGTAACGCACTCCAGTAACAAAAGAGTGTCATGAGAGTGCTACATCAACACTCGTGTGGAGGCGAGCAAATCAGCTTAAAAGGGTAAGGGGATAGTATCCCCTACCCTCCTGAACCCAGGATCCCTGGGTTCTGCAGCGCGAGCTCTCACTCCTCGTGCTTCGAGCTGGTGTGCGCTAGCCCACTCGTCCACCGATCCCCCCTGCACTTACACGAAAAACACACATTTAGTGTGGCCTGGTGCGCGCTCGTGCCTGCTGTATAAAAAGAAGAAAAGGAAACATTGTGATTGTTGATATTTACATTGCAGTAATATCTTTAAAATTTAACTGTGGCTATTATGCATGGGTTATATGTAATGTTATATGTAAGGCAGTGATGCTCAAACAACCGGAGTTTATTATTTGTGCTGGTTTGTTTTTTAATTCAGAATTGATTGAAAATATTGCATAGAGAAAGCACATTTATAAAACCCCTCAATTAGTTATTGCTGGGCTCTTCATAGGTTTAATTATATGTAATATTTGTCGTTTACTTGCCATCCCAATATAGGTATTACACTTTCCGAAGCCACAATCTATAAATATAGCTAGATTTAATTTAACAGAGTTTATAAGTGGTGAATTATAAGCATGGGAACAACCTTTGCGAGTTCAACTGAATTTTCGTTTAAGCATGGTGTAATAGTAGTGAAAGGCGCAGCAACTATTCAATACTCACTTCAAAAATATTCGGCCAAAACCACTATTTGCTTTGAACTTGCTTCGAACCCAAAATACATTTTTTTCTCTTGTCCTACGAAGAGTTATCGGTTTTTGTGCGAACGGTGCTCCCATCAAACGCAATGAATAGCTAGCGCTATTCATTGTTATCGGTTTGAGTACTAGCTATGCGCTCCGCTTAGCTGCCATACGAACTGTAGCAGGTAGAATATGAGTGAGAGCAGCGTGACACAAACCCTATAAAGTAGCCCAAAACATCTTTTTACGTCAAACACAGACCAAAAACGCCATTGGTATTCCTAATAGGTTAATTGAGACATCTGCAAAATTACCGCGGTATGATTGTTCAATACATAAATAAATATCCGTAGCAGCCAGGTCCCCTGTAGGTATGGCACTTTAAATATTGTTCCAACGTTCCAACCTGCTTTTTTTCCCACAGGTTAACTTTCAAAGAGATGAAATTGTCTGACATCAAAGCTCAAAATGATCTGCTCCACAAGTGAAAATCCCTGCTCCAAAACTCTTTTTCTCCTGCTGCAAGAGCTGCCTCAAATCACCACTTGTCAGTTACACTACTGTATACGGCTCTGGCATGGGAAAGGGGGCAATAATTTGTGGAGGCATAGAATGGTTTTTGGCAGAATCCCCTAGTCCCGGAAATTTGTTTGTTCGTCCGCCCATTTTCCATTCAGTTCAGCGGGGAAATTGACGTCGCGTCGCGTCATGTCACGTGACACAACGGCTTGACACTGTGATGTCAATTTCACCCGCTAAATTTAGTGGGGGAATTGACGTCACATTCACCCGATGCCCCGTGACACCAGGTCTCGTGACACCGTGACATCACATCATATCACCACGTCATGTTACTGAGGTCACATGGCCTCAATATGCCCTCTAAACTAATCAAAGAAATTAATAAACAATATAGAAGCTTCTGTTTAATGTCTCTGAAACAAACTTAAATGATCGCTTTTTTGAATACCGCTTTCCTTGCATTTAGAACCTTGGAGATGAATGTCTCTGGTAATTCTTTTGTTATCTTCCAATTTGATGCCTTTACGAACACATTTGCGTGCGCAGACACGAGTGGTGCCAGGTGCAGCACAGAGGATTGTGGACACCCTGGAATGGGCAGGCCTCGCTCCGGACGAGGGCCCCTCATTGGGCGGGAATTTCGGTCCCTACGTTCAGGTGACCACCGATCTCGTATGGTCGGCGTGGCACTGACAATGGCCTCTTCTTCCAGTCGGAGCGGATTCAGCTGTACCAAGAATACGCCCACAAGTTGTTGGAGGCAAGTTTGGAAACCTGCTTCTACCGGCGTCGCGTTCTGAAAGCTGCGGCGTCTGGGCCGTGCATCAAATTTTCCCGCGCAATGAAGCGAGCTGGAATTTCAACTCGAAGACGTACTTCACCGCTACCAGCGTCCCGCCATAATTTGGGCAGCCTGGTTCGAGATGATGGAGCTTAAAAAGGAAGTTTTGGGGATTTACCAGCCAGACCAATGAGGGACCTCTGGCACATCTCAGTGAAGGATAGGAATAATTTTGACAATCTGGGCATCTTTTGATGTGCAATCGAAATCTCGGCTAAACTGCACCTTCACTGTGATAACCCTCCGTCGAATTTTGGGCACCGAGAACCGACCGTCGCCAAGTGGATCAAGTCTTGTAGGCCAACACTTCCTCTCGGAGCCAATGCGGCCACTAAAATTTACAGTGAAGGCTTCTGCAATAGTTACATTTCTTACACTCCTGTCGCAAGGTTTACGACATGCTGGCCTATGGACCTTGAGGGGGTGGGTCCAAATGCTGGTCGAGGTGCCTGTAATCGACGGATGCGCTTATTCTGATGAAGGCCACTCGACACCTGAAGATTTCTAGGTAGTTCTGGTTAATCTGCAGTATTTTCCTGTGGCTTGCCAGATGCACTTTATTAGTCTGCACATATAAACCTCCAAAGATATTTTTCTAAAAAAAAAAAATTTAAGGCATTTAAAGCATTAGTGAACCAGCAGATGCCATAAGGAAGATAATTTCTTTACCGTCCTTTATCTAAACATCTATGTTTTTTTTTTTTTTTTTTTTACATTTTTGGGTTCAGTAAAAAATATATTCTATTCTAATTCTAGCATATACTTTGACATGTTAGCAGTAAGTTTGGCTGATTGAAACTTCATTTTTTCAGATGTAATGCCATTTTCAAAATTTTCAACCAGTTGGACAAAGTATGACAGCTGCCCAAGATGGTTCTTTACCATAGAAAAACATTATCTTATATTTAACAGTTTGCACAGTCCCCGATATTGAATACAATATCGGGGACATGATGTTTTCCTTTTCAACATGCCCGACATTCGTTGGTGAACATTGTGCTGCTGTCCTTGTCTGCAGACCGGGCACGCCTACCGGTGCTTTTGCACAGACGTGCGTCTGGACCTTCTCAGGAAAGACGCAATGCGCAACAGGCAGATTCCTCGCTACGACAACCGCTGTCGCTCCTTGACTCCCGACAGCACGAAGCTGTCAGGAAAGCCACACGTCATTCGCTTCAAGGTGAGTTTGGCCACAGTTTGATCTCCACCGGGGCTTTGACTGCTCAGAAAAGTCCTCTTCCATTGGGGAAGTCTCGAACCACTAAATATGCTATGCTTCAGGGTATTGACACTCCAGCCATGGATGGCTGGATGTTAACTCCTGTATCCTTTATGACGGGCGGTAGCTTGCGCCATCTATACTTCGTTCACGCCCAAGCTGAGACTACAGTGGAAGCTATGTGCCCGCCGGAACAATCAGCCGCCTCCCTCTTATCTCCCTACCCGGCTCTCTGCGCATGGTTATTGGCGGGAGTGTGACAGCGTGGCGAAAGAGAGGCATATGACTGGTCCAACGAAGAGGTAGCTTCCACCGTAGTCTGAGCTTATGGGTGAACGGTGTATAGCCTAAAACAAAAACATGACAAAAAATTTTCTCTGTTTTAGAGGTTGACGAGCAACCAAAAAGGAGAAAACTCTCCCTCAACTACCTTTTTCCATTTTAGAAAGAGGGAGACCCTCCTCCTTTTTGCCGGGAAAAGCTCGGAGACCTGCTCCTGTGGGAACAGGAGGAGAGAAGGGCACTAGAGGGAATGGAGAGAAGAAAACTCTGAACCGGTTTTCTTCCTGGCAGACGATCGCGTAGGTCTGCCTTTAAAGGCCGACCAACAAGGAGATAGGAGGACTCTCGCCAATTCTCGTTTTTCTCCTCTTTGTTTTTCCCGCAACAGGAAAGAATGCTTCACCTCGCCGCTTAGAATTAGAAAAGATTAGTCCTGCGGCCAGATAGTAGGCATGCAAAGAAATGCAGAAGCCGCGCCTTTTTAGAGCGCAGCTCTTAGGTGCCCGTTTCCGGCTTGAGCGGCGTCGCCGTCAGCGTAACCAAGGTCAACCCAAGGTCACGTGACCCCCCCAGGTGATGTGACCCCCAAGGTCACCCCAAAGTAACGTGACACCCCGAGGTCACGTGACCCCCCCCCCCCCCCCCCCCCGATGACGTCCTCGTCACTGATGACATCACCGGCATCCGCATCGTCATCGTCATCATCATCACTGATGACATCACTGATGATATCACCGGCATCCGCATCGTCATCGTCATCATCACTGATAACGTCATCAGTGACGTCACTGATGACGTCACCGACATCGTCATCGTCATCATCACTGGTGACGTCATCAGTAACGTCACTAATGACGTCATCGGTATCCGCATCGTCATCGTCACTGATGAGGTCATCAGTGACGTCACTGATGACATCATCGGCATTGTCGTCACGTGACCCCCCCCTCCGGTCACGTGACCCCCCCCCCCCAGTACCCTTCCCTCCTCCTCCTCCTCAAGAGCTGCGCTCTAATTCGGCGTTACAGGGAGTTGTAAACGGCTTTCACTTTTTAGAGCGCAGCTCTTAGGGGCCCGTTCCCGGCTTGAGCAACGTCGGCGTCGCCGTCGCCGTCGCCGTTGCCGTCGGCGTCGGCGTAACCAAGGTCATCCCAAGGTCACGTGACCCCCAAGGTCACGTGACCCCCTGAAGGTCACGTGACCCCTTCCAAGGTCACGTGACCCCAAGATGACCCCACGTGACCCTTTGAAGGTCACGTGACCCCCGAGTCACGTGACCCCTCTGAGGTCACGTGACCCCCGAGGTCACGTGGTCGCCTCCCCAAGGTCGGGGGTCACGTGACCCCCAAGGTCACGTGACCCCTTCCAAGGTCATCTCAAGGTCACGTGACCCCTCCAGGTCACGTGACCCCAAGGTCACGTGGGGGTCACCTTTGGGGTCACGTGGCCTTGAGGTCACCCCCAGGTCACGCCTCCCCGAGGTCACGTGACCCCCTCCCCGAAGTCACGTGACACCCCACCCCGGAGCATATTAAAGAATGAGGGGAGGAGGAGGAGAAGGGGGAGGGGTCTACCCTCCCCTCAGTACCCTTCACTCCTCCTCCTCAAGAGCTGCGCTCCAATTCGGCGTTACAGGGATTTGTAAACGGCTTTCACTTTTTTTTCTTTCCCTCTCCTCAAAGCTACCGCTTCACTTTGACCCCGGGACTTGAAGTACCCTAAGCCGACCTTGCAGTGCAAGCTTCATGCTCGTCAAACCGGTCATAAGCCTATCTTTCCCCGCGTGATCAAGTCCCTGCCCATACCTATACGCAGAGGGCGGGGTCAGGCAATGAAAGTAAGTGGCATGCTGGCATCTGCTTGCTCATCAAGTTCCTTCCTTGATTTATTAATTTGAACAACTGTCTAGTAAGCGTCTTACTGCCAGAAGAACATCAACGATTAGGGTGACCACCCGTCCCGCGACTCGCGGGACTGTCCCGCATTGAGGGCTCGTGTCCCGCGTCCCGCAAGAAATTCCAAAATCTTCAAAATGTCCCGCATTTCACATTGTCGTAACATTCACTGCGCAAATTGTGACGCTTCTGAACAACGGGCAACGGGGAACCCGGAGGTCGCTGATAAATGTGTGAATCTCGATGGTATGTCATTTTCTTGCCAAGCACTGCGGGAAGCAACCGTCGTTCTTGCAGGAGACCTGAGGCACATGCGCCGTTGTGCCTCTCCCCTTGCCATGGCAAAATATTGCAAGCGAAAATTGCTCGCCAAAAGCTAAAAATAAACTATTGTAATTAGTTGCAAATCATACTGTATCATGTGAAAGGGTTGTTGTGGAAAGCTTTTTTTTATTTTTTTAGTGAAGACGGCCACAGAAGGCAAAAAACCTGGAACCCACAACAGTCAAAAAAACAACAACATACGTTTTCTTTTTTTTTGGAGGAGCATGTTAATATAAAAGTAAGTATCGACAGGAAACAATAAGCCGAAAAATATTTACTGTTTTTTTTTTATTTCCTTTTGATGCATTGGGGTCTGGTGCAGTCAATCTTTGTTTTCAACTTAGATACTTTTAATAAAATATTTACCATTACAAATAAACAAAAGTATATCACTGTGAGTGAAACTTATCTTAGTTTAATTGGCGCATACAATTTTCAGGTGTATAATACGCTTTCGGACAGCACAGGATTTCGGGGTGTGCGCGTTGGTGAATTTCCCTTAATACTTATTTCTTGAGTCGTGAAAATACCGTCCTCCCCTCCCCCTCCTACCCCTGCCCCCCGGTCAGGGTGTCCCGCATTCCACCGGCAGGAAGGTGGTCACCCTATCAACGACAGTTATTTTTTCTGAACGATAACTTCTTCCTGGCTGAAAATATCTATTCTAAAAGTCTCGCAGTTTGTTTGTTTTTTTTCACTTTTTTTAAAGTATAAAACGAATGATAGTTTTTTTATTATTTTGGCAAGTGCATCAGATACTAGAACAGGTGAATATTTGCGTAAAATTAATTTAGCCAGATTTCTCAATTTAGAAATATTTTAGAAAAATTAATGACACGAATGCATCACTCATAACGAGCACCTAGCAAACATCTTTCAATCGTAAAATGTCGTGCCCACCAAACATTTCCGCAATTTATACTTCGCAAAATCCACAAAATTATGTGGTACAACAAACGTCGAGGTCCCGAGCCTTTATTCCACATTCTTAAAGAAAGAGTATGTGACAACACACTCTAGATCGTTCCTATGACTCTGATAACGATACCTGATACTCCGCCGAAGCCTTTGCACATGCATCATATTGTTATCAAGCATCGTTGTTGGAGGTATGGGAACAATCTAATTAAACTCTCTAATGTTCGACTCTTTTCTAAAAGAAGTAAATGCTGAAAATGAAGATGATTAATTTAGCTTCACCACCATAAATCCCTGCTTTGCCTCCGAGACACCTCGGTGTTCTCACGCAACCCCTCAATAAGCGAAAAAACGGCTTACAATGACACGCGAGTCGTCATTTGTTGGCGACATATCTGCGCTCTTGAACATACACAGTGCCGCTGAAACTTGGCATAATGAAAATACACAACCAGTGACTGAACGTTGCTGGCCCTATTAAAAAAAGAAGAAAAAAAAGAACTGTCAACTTTGAAGTTGATGGCGCGATGGGAGTTACGCGCTTGCCAAACCAATCAACAGCTTTCCTTCCGTCACCTGACCCCGCTCCTTGCATGTTCGTATGGCAAATAACATTGCTAAATAAGGACATAGTACCGGTCCAACGAGCACATAGCCTCCACCGTACTACCAGCTTAGGGATGAACAGACTATGGTCCTTCCTGAGAAAAATGCTCGTGAACCCGCCATGGAATTGCACGAAGAGCAATCCGCTTTGTCCGAGTCAAGCAGTAGCAACAGCCCCGTTCGGTGCTCATTTCCTGCCACTGTGACTAATCCCTATTGTTCAGGTTTGGGGGTTATAAGCCACTTAGACGCTCAGCATGCGAGAAGGACACAAAGATGTGAGGAGAAAATGGGAGGGGCAAACAAAGAAAAAAATTAATTTTCTGGCAGGATTGAAGAAGTAACTTTTGTGTGTCGGGTTGTCAATTTTTTTCCCCTCTGCAATTTTTTGTAGCTATCACCAGGCAGTGTGGGACATCGGCAGAATAACCTTTGGGGGATCGGGCAAAAGAATAGAAGCATGCACCCTCGGCCTTCTTCTCCCGTTGAGGGAGTCGCCAATGCTAAGTGGTGCTTAACATCATTGATGCCGGTTATGTAAAGCTTTATACAAATTCGCAAGGAACAGTTTTTTGTCCTCTGGAACTTTTAGGACAGTGCAAAACGATGTCGTCCGAACTTTCTGACGCCATATCTAATGCTCTGGAAGTAGCTTTTTCGAATCGTAACAGTCGGCAGTTTGCGCCCGATCTGCAGTAAGGGCCAAAATTGTGATGCGGCACCCACAGGAATAAGCGTACTTCATCTAGGGGTTCTAGAGAAGTCTAATGCCCTAGTTTCACTAGAGCGATAGACAGAAGCAAATGACAGCGACAAGCCTCAAACCAGTCTTTCGCGATTCGACAGGCCTTGTAGAGTAAAGGAGGCTATGCTCAAGCACGAGCATCATGCACGCGAGGATTTCTTTGGCAGGCTTGCAATCACTCATGCTTCTTTCAAGAGCACCGAACGACTAAATATCCGCCAAAGGTACCATCGTGAGCATGCTGCATGTGTTAGAGGCAGTGTTGTAAAAGTTACTTAAAAAATGTAGCTAAGATACAGTTACAGTTACCCATACGAAGAGGTACCTAGGTACTTGCTTAAAAACATATTTAGGTACAGGTACAGTTACTTCGAAGATACTTTTATTTATTTGCCTCAAATTTGTCAGAATATATTGGAAGTAAAGCTTTTTACACTAAGGATACACACAAAAACGAGTTCGATAAATGTGCTTTATCGGCGTCACTGAGAGAAATAAGGAAAACCGCATTCACATGAGCCGGTGCTGACGTCGACGGCCCCAGAAGACGTCGGCCGCATGAAGAAACTCATTAGTCGATTGCATAGGTACCGAACCTTTGCGACAACAAGCGAAAAGCTTCATGCTTGCTTTTTCTTTTTTTTTTCTTTCGTTAGTCGGAAGAAAAATAAGCTTTTTTTTTCTTTCAGAACTTTTTCAGTTTTGATAACGGCAAAATTTGAGTCCGATTCATTGAGTGGAAACTGTATTATACATGCGATGTTACATTGCTTTACGATTGTAAGTATAATTTATTTTTGATTATATTTTATATTGTATTTATGGCAGAACATAGCCACCACCAGGCCAAGATAAAGGTAACAGAAACTGCGCACATCTTTCAGGTTATCTCCTCCCTTGTATAGCTGTCAGAGGAGCTTTAAGGGGGGACACTGGCTAGAGGTTGAACTTTTGAACTACTCAAGTGATCGGAATGAAATTTTCAGGGGAGATTTAACTTAAGATATAGGTGTACTGTGCAAACTTTCAGCTCTCTAGGCCAACTTTACATACCTGCATAAGATGATGTGTCACTCTTCGTTAAGAAATCTATAATATGCAAATGAAGCTATTAAGCATCATTTTAACTGCTTGAGTATAAAGGGGGGGATGTGGGACTTTGGGCTATCTAGTTTTTATAACTCAAATGTAAATATTTCAGGAAGAGTGATTACCTCAAAATATGAGATGCATATCTGTCCTATGTCAATTTTTGAAAATATGTTCTTTTCTCAATGAGGACTTTAATGTAAAACAAAATAAAGTAGATAGCCCAATTCCCCAGTAAATTTCAGTTCAGAAACATCTTGATTGTGGTATCAGAATAATTTTACCTTCGAACAAAAGATTCCTTCGTATGATATTTGCAGCAAAAAGTGGAACGGAGAAAAATGCATTCAAACATTGAACTCCTTTACCTTGTTACTGCCTGACAATGTGTTGAAAATATTTGATATCAATGGAACTATTTGGCGCATAGTTATGAAATTTAGTGTAAGGGTGTATAATTAGTTTCTAAAACCAAAAACTTCAAAATTGAAAAATTAATTTTTTCAAAAAATTTTGAAGCTTAGGCCCATGTCCCCCCTTAAACACGCATCGAAGTCGATTTCGGTTTGAGATGAAGGAAGCAGGTCGCCCTTTTCCCTAAACGGAATTCGGAAGCGATTTGATGAATTAGTGTCGCTAGAACGGCATTGCTAATCCACTGTTCGCTCAAGTGTACACCGCCATTCGCTAAAATGTCGTTCGATGAAACATCATGGGCGAGGCTTCGTTTGCTAAAACGTCATTCGATCAAGTCAGTGCCTCCCAGGTCGTACCCAAATCAATGTTAATCACGGCACGTGGTAGTGTATTAATACTTCAAGATTTATAGTTTTACCATTTTGACGAAAGTGAATAGGAAAGTACCTGTAAAGAGTAACTTCACTTAGTTACAAGTTACTGGAAAATGTACCTAAAAAGATACAGATACAAATACCGAGAAATGAAAGTGCCTAGGTTTGTATCTCAGTTACAACAAAAGTACCTAGATATCGATTTCCAGTTACTTGTACCTGGTACTTTACAATTCTGGTTGGAGGCTTGTCCGTGTTGTTTGTGTTTATCGCTCTAGGGGGACTCGGCCATAATGGTCCCAGAAATAATTCTGGCTTGAGTGCCCTACAACTGTGGGAACCAGTGAAATCTTGCATGATGCAAACATACCGTAATATCCCGAGAGATACACACCCCCGAAAGATAACCCACCCGTATTTTTGGCATGATTTGCTATTTTTTTTAAAAACACCGTTAGATAGCCCACTTCTAGCAATTGCAGTGTCCTGGCCAATGGTGACATCGGCTAATACGGAGTTACTTAGCCATGACGGGAGAGAAGCGATCATTGCTGACTGGGAGGGACAGTCGTCTTGAGGTCGTTGCCCCACCCTAAAATCACAAGTTTTGCAAGTCACAAAATCTAAAAATCTAAATTGCACACCAAAAGTTAGCCCACTTTTTGTTTTCACCTGATTTATTTTAGATTTTAGTTTCCTTGTGCATATGGCTGGTTTCATTATTTGTAAGACGCTGCCAGTCAAGCCCAATGGGGCTTTAGCAGGTGTGAATTCATTTGATTTGTTATTTGCAATAAGTTATAATGATGATTATGATAATGATGTGCTGGGCAGTTTAAAACCAGTATGCAGCAATTTTCTAGACTAGGAAATGCAGCTCGCATTTCCTCGTTAAGTTTGAGCGTATATATGACCAACGAGTTATAAAAAACTGTACCACGCTGACTTGCCGTTGGTTTGGCAGCTTTCCGAAGGAGACCTGACCTTTGAGGACGGTGTCCATGGCCCGGTGACCCTCAACACGGCCGAAAGGGAAGGAGATCCTGTAAGGCTTGTCTTTTTTTGCATCATCCTTTGTGCACAGAACGTGTTTGAGTCGTTTTTTATGAGAGAATCGTCACAAACGAGCATTGTGGACGAGCGTCAGAAATGAGTGTCACGGACGTGCGACACGATGGGAGCGTCGTACGATGTTAAGTGTTACATAAAGCTTATACAGGCCCACATAAGAGCAACGCAAGAGCGACGCCCCAGCGGGGCTCGAACCTGGGTCGCTACAGTAGCAGTCGGATACCGTAGCCACTGAGCTGCATAGCACCGCTGCTCAGGAAGAGCTGGGCTTTTGGGAAAACATGACAACCAGGGTGGTGCAAAGTCGTACCATGTGACTGCTTGCCTCATTGATGTCACGCATATTGCGCGAGAGCTGCGTAAATTAGCACCTATGCGGTGCTCTTGTCTGTTTTGTCTCGCCCTGGCTAACGTCTGAGGTGCACAATGGTTGGTTGGTTTGTGCTAGTGTGCCGCACAGGCACGTGTGACACAATGTTTGCTCCCTGGACTTTGTTGGCGTGATCGAGCGAACGGGAATTTTCTTTTAGTCACTGTCAAGCAGCACTCGTCTTTTGTCTTCCCTCTGCGGAGGAAAGTGAGCTAAATTTATGAATGTGATGTCCCACTTTTTCAGACGCTCCCACTTCCTGACTTGAACTTCCGGATAACTAATCTAATTATTTTGTGTAAATTAGTCTAAATCAAAAACACTGAATGTTTTTTTTTGTTTTTTTTCTTGTCCAGACCATTTAAATACTAAGTGAAAGTTTTGTTTATCGAAGTTTTGGGTAGATGGGACATGGAGCACCACACCGAGGAAAGGTGTGCTCGCTTTAGAATAAGTTTGGTCAAATTTTACTTGCATATATTAATAACAATATTGCTATCTAAATTCATCTGTTCCAAAAGGGCATTGGGCCATTTGCTGGCCAACGATACACTTTTGAAGAACTCCGTGGCACGATTCGAGTGTCACAGGGCCCAAAAGCTAAATGGGAAGCTGTTTCATTTGACATCTTTTTGCATTCCTTTAGTTTAAGGGCACTGTAACGAACGTATCAAGTCGAGTAGAGGGTGGAGTACAGGAAACATTCAATCAAAATATAAAAGGAAAAAATAAACGATCATGGATGAAGAAAGAATAAAACAATTAAAACAGGGACAACACAACCACATCTTTCGAATAAAACAATTAAAACAGGGACAACACAACCACATCTTTCATGAAAGATGGGGTTGTGTTGTCCCTGTTTTAATTGTTTTATTCTTTCTTCATCCATGACTTAAACCAACACGCTCTTCTCCCAAGCATAACAAACGATGCAGCCAGCACTTCTCTTGGCTCCGCCCGAGATGGGAGCATTTGCTGTTCTGCATAATCCCCCGAAATTCATGGAAGCACTCTTCAACCTGGACACTTTAAAACAAGTTCCTCCTCTCTCTCGTTCGAGCTGCCCATGTTTCGTGACTTTGATCACTGAGCACGAACCCTTTCAGCTTTCACACGCTGGATTATACACCAGTTTCCATTCTCAATTAACACCGAAAACCATCCACAGCTTGTGCGTGGAAATCGTACCTAGAATAGAACGCATCTTCGACTGGCGTGTTTAGCATTCCATGCCTCCCATACATCAAAAGTGTTTCCGAAATGGCAGCAGTCGACGTCGCAGAAGCCGATATGTCATGTTGTCGGATGTCACGATGTTGGCAGTAGAAGACCCGGCAAAAAGCACAAGCGAACGCGAGTATCTCTGTCGTCACAGAGTCTCAACTCCTGGTTGTTGAAGCTTTTGTTTACCATCAAGCCGGAGAGCGACCTGCAACAGAACGGGCGTCCGCGACGTCCACTTCCATCGCAGTTACACTGCCAGGATTGCGGTCGGCGACAGCACGACATTTCCATGATGTGACCGGGTGAAAATCGGGAAGCCAATTTTTTAGGTTGCGGCGAACGGACCAGTCGGAGAACACATTTCAGACACCGTTGCGGAAACAGATGCCGGAAAACACGTTCCCCACTCGCAGGTGATCCTGAAGAGCGACGGCTTCCCGACGTACCACCTGGCGTGCGTGGTGGACGACCACCTGATGCGTGTGAGCCACGTGCTGCGTGGCGTGGAGTGGCAGGTGTCCACCCCGAAGCACATCATGCTGCACGAAGCACTCGGCTGGGAGCCGCCACGTTTCTTCCACCTCCCGCTCCTCCTCAACAAGTGGGTCTGCCGATTAGCAGTTCATAACCAGTGATTGTATGCGTACGGCTGTGCTTTTTAAATCGGGTAGTGGCTTGCGCCACCTGGCTGGTGTTTTTAACAGCAGTGGTTCACTGCCACATTCAAAAGTTAGATTTGTGTGATGGAAGCCAAAGCGACCCCCAGACACCATTGTAGCGCCTTCGAGCAAAGCGCTTTGACGATGCAAAATTCCTGTTTTTTAAAAGCGTCGGATGACTAGAATTTTTATCTAACTTAATGTGCAAGAAAAGAAAGAAAAAAAATAAAAAATAAATGAAGAACAGATTATTTTCCGCAGCATGACACCAGACACTTTCATGCCCATTCTAGAAGTGTTGGGTTCTTTTCCTTTGCTGGTTTCTCATCTCTTTATGTCCTACGGTCCATCGTGCACGTCTGGGTGAACCAAGGAGCGGCCAGGCTCTTTAAATCGACCGCAAAATTTGGTTTCTTAACCTATCGATTTTTTGCAGCGTTGCCCACAGATGGTGCATGTTTTTCGTAAAATTTGCAAAGAGCGAACTTACCTGAGGAAAAAGTAAAGAAAGAAAAAGGCTTGGCTCCTATGAAAACGCAGCGAAGCCACCGGTCTTCAAACAACATGGCGCCGTTTCGCACGGGACACAAGAGATGGCGCAACGAATGAGCATACGGCGCCAAAGCCGGCATCTTTAGCAGACGATCGTTTCGACTCAAAAGCGGCGCGTGTTCTGCAGGTGGTGGCAGTCACAGAAACAAAAGCAGGCATGGTAACAACAAGGAACTGCAAAGCAGACGACATTAGTACCCCGAAAAAAAAAGTCAAAATATCTCGATAGGCCATTTTTTAATCAATAATCTGCATTCAATATGTTTTATTAGTAAGGATGATAAAATAATGCATTGGCAACTGATATCAGAAAAGCTCGCGCTGCTTTTGAGTCGAACATATTGTCTGCTAAAGACGCCGGCTCTCGGCGCCGTATGCTTTGTTCGTTGGCGGCAATTGGCATCGCGACCGCTTGCATCATCTCTTGTCTCCCGTGCAAAACGGCGTTGTGTTGTTTGCAGACCGGTGGCGTCTCTGCGTTTCCATAGGAGCTAAGCCTTTTTCTTTCTTTACTTTTTCCTCAGGCAAGTTTGCTCTTTCCAAATTTTACAAAAAAAATGCACCATCGGTGGGCAGCGGTGCACAAAATACTAGTGCGGTAAGTTAAGAAACCGTATTCTTTGGTCGATTTAAAAAGCCTGGCCACTCCTTGGGTTACCCTGTAGATTGCTTTTAAAGAAGAGGGCATGCAGGGTTTGGATTTTCCGAGTTTATTTTTAGCAAATACCATGTGCGGTTGTTTGATAAAGGGGCAAAATATGCTTTTCTTACCATTACAATTGAGAGCAATGTAGCTGTGGTGCTCTATAGTGACTATTAGGCACAGAAGTGAGTCATGGTGTCTGGATCACAGTCAGCATCCTATGCGTGCCATGCTTTCGGCATGAATGAAGGTGCAGCGAATGACGTACACCACAGATGTGTCTGAGGAAATGGATAAGAACGTTTTTGCTGCTTCTCGTAATTGGAGTTTGATTCTAGCTTGGAATACGGTAGGAAACAAAGGCTTCTTTTATATGAGTATGCTCTAACTGAACCGAAGGAATGCCATTTCTAATCACAAGTAAGAAGGTCGCTTAAAGTGCAAAAATATTTACGCACAATTTCGGCTCATTTTAAATAAAAAGATGACTCGGCGTCCATTGAAACTATAATCGTGAAAGGAATTGGAACAGGGAAGTTTTTTATGTTGTCCCGTTTGTGGATCCAATTCTTTTGTTAACGAAGCTCTTTTGAGAACATATGTACTGAGAGCAAGCACCCTAACTGCCAAGCTACATAATAATTTTGTGACGATCGGTATTTGACCGCAGGGACGGCACCAAGTTGTCCAAGCGCCAAGGTGACGTCCACGTGGGGAAGCTCAAGGTACCCGGCGATTTCCGAACGATTTGACGGGCGGCTCCATTCTCGAGGCGGGTGTCGAGTTGCGTCACCCGGCGAGCGTGCCCACGAGCCATTTAACTTCTAACTCGGAAAGCCAGTTTGCGTAAAAGGGCTGGTTCTAACGCTTGCATCTGGTTTCGTCTGAGCGCGTTGCGCAGTCCAGCGATCTTTTACAGCGAGAGGACATACTTGCGCCGTCTATTGGGTAGCCGTGGAACACTCGTGACTTCCGTATCATTATTTTATTGGTTTGTAAAACTTTTGATAACATTATAAATGACTGTTTCCTATTGGGGAGGAGGACAGACCGTTACGCCCCAAGCGGTTAACTTATCAACCACACGGATGGGGACAACAAACACAATGACGCAGCGCTCGGCCGACATAACCGAACGCGGCGTCAGCGTTCGGCTGGAGTTCGTGTTCTCCGGCGAGGGGGAGGAGGGGCTGTTTTGTTTCCACGACGGCCTGCATGAACAATGCTGCATGCACGATCCCAGCTTAGCACAAAAGCCGAAGTGGGTCAAGCTCGCATTCTCAGAAGATAGATCCGGCACTTAACGTCGCTTCGTCGATTGTTAGTATTTTTTACATTAAACTGTGCCCCGCGCTCTATTGTAGAAGATGATGTGGCCATGCCTATAAGGCCTGTTGGCATGTGTACAGGCCTTGTGTTGAGTAAACACCGAGCGTGGGGAAAACAAACGGGTCAGAGCGCCCCCTATACTTCGATCTCCTGCCCAATAGAAAGTGTGTTCATTTGAACTCGCAAATACTGCAAAACCTTCACTCTAGTGAAATGCAGTTCCGGGGCCATCTCATGGCTGGCACCAAAGTGCCAGCATGTTTTCTTGTCTAAAGAGAGGCTGCACGGAGCACTCAGTTGCAACCAGTCGCAGATGTGCAGACCAGCCTTTGGTGTTGAGCCTCATGGTGCCGCCGTTGGTTTTGCGGCAGGACGTTGGCTTCTCGTCAGAGACTCTTCTCAACTTCCTGGTGCTGGCCGGCGGAGGCTTCGGCAAGCAGGAGAAAGACACCTTCTACGATTTGGACGACATGGTGTCGCAGGTCAGTCCCCTCTCCCAGAAACACCTCGGGCTATGGGTGCGTGCGCGTCGTGGAACGTAAGAGACAGAAGTGTGTGGAGGGAGTGCAGAAATGCCGAGGAGCGAGCGTGTCTTTCTAGCCTTGTCTTCGAGGCTCAAGATGTGCCTGGGACGGTGTGAAGCGGAGTCGGCTGTGACGCCAAAAAGACATTTTCGGAGCGTAGAGCGCGACACTTTCGAAGGTCTGCACGATGGGAAGTGATTGACTTTTCTTTGTTGAACATAGGCTAACTATTACGAAAATAAAAAGCGCGAAAGGCAAGGACAAGAGGGAGACTACACAATCTCGCTGTTGTCTTTCGCGCTTTTTATTTTCGTAATGTTTAACCAACTAGGCCAACAAATGATTTTGCTATAGGCTAACTACACTAGCTATGCTGTCAGACGGTTAGTAACAACCTGTCCTCATTGTGTAAATGTTTATGAATATTGCTGCTGTGGCTTGGCTCTTTTTATTGTGTCCACTTGTGTTTTCAGAAGGCAGGCCCGTGCAGCTTAGTGCATTTTTTAAGCTTATGTATTTTGTAGTTCCAGTGATCATCTACTTTTTGTTCGTGAATCTTTTTTCACCGCATATGCTTGTGGGCTTGACAAACCCGCTGAAAGCCTGGTACTCTTTCTTGTAGCCCACGCTTCATTCGTTATAGGCCCCTTCGCAAATTGGGTGCCTCTAGTGGCCCAAATACCTATCAGTCCACATTTTTGTATGTTAATGATGGTTAAGATCTAGTACCTATTCATCAACGGCAGACGTTTTAAATTTGCGGTGTTCTTTGCTGTACATAGTTTTCTCTCTGTTTCATTTTCGAGGATGTCAAGAAACTGCCACTTTGTATGAGGTGCTTAGTTTAATAAAACTCTTTATAACATACGCCACATTTTATTGTCATGAGCATGAGCTTTCTGGGGTGCGCCGAAGCCCAGTATTCCAAGGATTTACATGGCACCCTCAAATGCGTTGCACACAAATCTTATAAGTCTCTTCACGCTGACAACAAACTAACGTCTGGAATGTTGAAACTCCACACGGGTGCCTGTCTCCAAATTCTTTTTTCGGCATCCACCACAAGGCTGCCATTCGTGTGCACAGATGATACAGATAGGTGATGATAGTTATTAAAGTTATCAAAGTAAAATATTGAGCAAGTGCCAACCCACAATTGGAGATAACGTCAAAAAATGGGGGATGAGTGGTTCTTGGTCTGACGCAAAAGATCTTCAGGGTTACATAGCACGTGGGTTCTTGTTCGCTCTGAGGTTATGCCATAGAATCAGTAGGGGGGTCCGGTGGAACCTTAATATTTAGAATAGCTATGCCGCTCGTGTCGTCTCGTTTTCTGCCAGTGCTTTCACTTTGAGCTTCACCACCTCGCACTGGTGTGCGTGCATAGAGTTTTGCCTTTTTGCACCGGCATGCTTGGAGAGGCGGCTGGTGCAGAGGAACCTCTCAGATATGCTTCGGACAACGCTGCAACTATTCGGGAAAAGGCACGGGGTGTGCGCTCCGGTCACCAACGAAAGCTGCGCACGCACGCTCCTCCTCTCGCCGGAAGTTCTATTGAAAATAGTCCCCGAGTGTAGCTCAATGGCCTCAAAAGCTTGGTGGGGTGGGCACTTTATATGTCCCTTGCCTATCTTTAGAACGTTTCAAAAGTGGGGAATGGGTGCGACACGGGCGCATTTCGCGAAATGGGCACGTAGCGTGGGTGCCTACTATGTTCGGTATTTTACAATGTCCACTATAATTCTATTTTTTTTTCTTACTTCCGGAGCTCGTTATACAAGTATGCATACCCTCAACAATTTTGGGACAGACTACTTCGATCGTGCATAGCATTATGCCTGTCAACATTAGCTTACCTATATGGAGTGCAAGTTCGTCTGCTTCTTTTGCAGAGTTGTGATGACGTTAGAATGCCGAGCTCCAATTGGCTCTGATTGAAGGATAGTGGGTGGACCTCAAGGCAGCTTGCTTTGAAGTCTACCCACTATCCGTTCAGACATCACCACAAGCCCTGCAAAAGAAGTAGACGAACTTGCACTCCGCATAAAACCTGAGATGCCTGCATTCTATCTTACTTTGACCAACAAGCGGACAGTTATGTTGTGCTACATGTGCAGTTCAACCCAGACGAGCTGAAGGGCAGCTCGTGCCGGCTGGACCCCGAGAGACTGGTGCAGCTTAACCGGCTGCACCTGCGTCGCTGCCTGGACGATCCTGGGAAGACCCTTTCCTTGGCCAGAGAACTGAGGCGACTCCTGGACCAGCACCAGGAGCCCGTGCCAAGCGACTTCCTGTCGGACGATGACTTGGTCCGTGTGCTGCGGGAGACTGCGGTACGTGGAAGCGCCGCAACTCTCACCAAAATGTATGTGTGGTGGCGGGAGATTATTTTACTCATTCATATCCTTTCATCTGTACCTGCTGCACCTTTAGGCATTATTTAGGGGGGTACATAACAAAGTGGTGGTGGTTTGGGCAAATTGGCTCATATTTAATGGAAACAACACGGAAGAAACACATGTTGGAAGAAGACAAAAGGTATAGATGCAGGTATATCATACATATAAGCATTTGTGGTTTTTTTTTTCTTAATAAACTTAGTTGCGAGTGTACCCTGCCTCGTTTCAACCTTTGTCTGTATGTTTCTTTAATGCTGTTTTCTTTAAAGGAGTCATGAAACAATATTGGTTCTGATTGTTAATGACTCTGCAGAGGCGTACTGGTCCTAGTCTGGCCCGAGTAAACTCGCACAAACTGCCACTGATTCAGAAGCTTCTTTGTCGCGGTTAAATTGTGAGGATAAAAGGGGACTATTCCTTTCAGTCTTGCCTTCGCAAAGTGTGATGACGCAATCAGGGGATCGAAACCACCCGGCTGATGGCGGTCGAGCGCGGCTCATGAATTGGACACGAGAACTGTGTGAGCACTCGACTTCGGCTTGTAGCATTCAATGCTTCGGTGGACACTTGGGTAGTGGCTCGTGTACAACCACAGCAGTGATGAGAATAGCCGAACTCTAACAATGCCTGGGGCTCAGTACGCGTTTTCTACTTTGCCAACCCCAGCGCGTGGCTATGATTAACAATGACGGCATAGGATAGGCACCAGGCTATGTGGCCGCTTGTCCTGGCTCCTAGTTGAGGGGATGAACGATGCTCATATTGTCACGAATGACAAGTGATGAGGCGATAATAAATGAAGAAACTAAACAATTAATGGGGCGAACTTGTGCCCAAAAATAAAAAGGGAACAGAAGAAAGTAGAGCGTCGCGGGCGTCGAAGTCGGCGTGACAGCAGAGTCGAACGCTGGGGCGAAACTGACTCCGGCTTGCCACGTAGAGCCGCTTTTGTACACGCGTGGGCTTCTGGAGCATTCGGCGTAGAAGGTTCGGCGCATAGAACATTCTAATCTCGAATCACCAAGACGATTCTCGAATTTGCCAGAATACTAGTCTGCAAGAATAAACAAAAAGATGCGCTGCTCCCAGGAATCGAACCCTGGCCCTTCGCGTGGGAGACAAGCGCGATAACCGTTAGGCGACGGCTGCGCTGCCACTTGGCGCGCGGCAACATTTCTCAAATTTGTTTGGCGACTGCCATTTACTATAAAGAAAAGCAGACAAGTTTTTTTAGGTTTTAACGTTAAGGAGTGATTCAAAGTAGTATTTAGTGAAAGTAGTAAAATTGTTTCATGGCTCCTTTAAGAAAGGGTACATAAGTGCATGCATAAACAAAATACAAGCACTTAACAAGCAAAAATACAAACATATCTCACTCTAAAATTTTATATCATATAAATAAAATTAGTGCCATCGGCAGCAGTAATGACTTCTTCCGGCAGTGCATTCCAATCTCGGATAATTTTAACAAAAAAATGTAAAGGTCAAACACTTTGTACGATAACAATATTCTTCTACTTTTTTAATGATCAACCTGTGAGACACGATGAAGGGGCAAGATATAGAGACTTCTTGTGATACCTGTATATCCACAATATTTTTTAGGGAAAAATGTAAACCACACACTTTTCCCTTTGTTCAAGAAGGTTTGAAACTAATCTTTCGTTTAAATATTTCATGATATTTGTCTGTGAAAACAAAGTGTTTCCTATAAGATTGTGCAAATATTTTAATAATACGCTATTTGATATTCGCTTCGAGTTGAACTGTGATATTCATACTTTTCGAAGTGTAGTATATCGCGGTGGGTTAGCCCCATTGAGCGTGCTTCTCACCGAGCACCTGTGCCCTCCCCGGGGAAGCAATACCCATGGAGCTCGCACAGTATGTGGATATTGCTTCCCTGCAGTGCGCGGCTGTTTGCTAAGAAGCACACTCAACGGAGCTAAGTCGCTGCAGTTACGCAAGAGTATGTGTTAGGCAGCGACCTCTTGACAACCCGCATTCGTCATTCATGCTAGTTTTTGTGTTTATTTTTTTATGAACATGAAATTAAAGAAATTATGTTCTCAGATAACAAGCAGATTTACAAATGTCTTCGATTAGGATAGCTGCCACAAATTTTGTTGTTTGCATGACACAGTTCATAAATATCGCTCAGTAATATTAAAATTACTGAGCTTAGAAGTGGACAAATGAAAGGTTGCGAACAACCTTCACTAGTTCAGCCGAATTTTCATTTAAGCATGGTGCGCAGTAGTGAAAGTCTTGGCACAACTATTCAATATTTGATTCTAAAATATTCTGCCAAAACCACTATTCTCTTCTAATTTGCTTCGAACTCATTATCCACTATTTTCACGTGACTAGTTTTGTAGTCAGACTCGGTCTGCGTGTCAATGCACGTGCTCGAGCTTAGGCTACTCCTGTTCCCTACCCCTACAGCCAGATGCGGTCATGTGCAGAGTAGCCGCACTACATTCTGCATTGCAGGATTTGGAGGCAACATTGCTCCTGAAGCCAGTTTAACATGTGCTGTAAAAGACTTAATTTTTGTGGGCTTGATATTTCACGAATTTTGTTTAGAGCAGGTTTCAGGAATATTTCAGGGATGCAAAATGATTGCAAGCAGGGACTCAAACCGAAGATAATAATGGTTCGGTAATGGTTATCATTTTATTTATGAAATCGGACTCGTTCCAGTTATTTCAGGTTTCGGTTTTTAATATTTCGGTTACCAGTGAGGCGTTCCTCAAAACTGTTTTTAATGCGAAAGCATTAAATGGGGGTCTTATGGAGCGAGCCAACGTCATCAGTTCGGAGCGCAAAAACGGCACCTAGTTCCCCTGATCCCAAAGGTCCCATTGGCTGGCGCGTGGCGACGAGGCTTCCATTGGCTGCTGCGCGCGTCGGTTTTAACGACCGCCGCCAGATGGCATTGCTTCTCTGTGCCGGCAGCGCCGATAAAACTAACCGCTGCAACCCGATGCCACTATTGGCCATGCACAGGTTAAAAACGGACACGTTGGCGCGCGCTCACAGGCTTGTGTTCGTCTCGCTGCCGACCAACATGCTGTCGCCTCCATCATCCACATCGTCGGCGGTGCTTCTGCTCGTCTCGCTGCCGACAAACATGGCGTCGCCTCCGGCATCCAGATCGTCACCGGTGCTTCTGCCACAACTCGAGAACATTACTCGCGCCACAAAACTCTGCTGATCACTCCGCGGCGTTCCATTGGACATTCATGCTTTCGCATTTGCAACTCATAAGAAGTGCTTATGTGTTTTCTGACTTTTTTTGTGGTCTAAAAAGAAAGCTAGAAACTGAATGTTGCAGTGTTGCTGGGTATCAAGAATGACATCACTCTTTATGTACTTATATTCGGCATCAAGTATTTTGCGCTACATTGTCATGGGTAGTATGGCTTCCACAGTGCTACAAACCAAGGGCATCAAACTATTCGGGGGATGGGGGGGATTTTTCTCCTTCTCTCTCGTGTTATTTACTTACGTTAAATGCCCTCCTGGCTTATTCTAACTTGGCAAAGACGGCAGTTTCGAAAGCCCAACATGAGCAGTTCCTTTTTTCTAGCATAGGTAGAGACTCAGCCCTCCTATACTAAGCATTAATTACTCACAAACTGTGTGTGGACTAAGAGAATGACATAAAAAAGTAAAAGTGAAACAATAAAAAAAATAAAATGTAGGGTTGATCTTGTAGTAAATCTGGAAATGTATCATCTTTCATAATTTTTGAATAATAATAATGTAAACAATCAATACCAATATACAGTTTATATCGTTTAGAATGCAATGATGTGTGTCTTGCAAGTTACGTGACATCAATTCGAGTGTAATAATGCAAAAAAATCTACCTACCAAAAAAAAAAAAAAAGACATTTTGTGCAAAACTGTCTCCAGAGGAATGTTTGAAACTGTTTTCTTTCTTTTTGCAAAGTTTTTATTCATAAATAATAATAAAAAAAAAAGCACTTAAAAGCTTGTTTGACGAGGTTATGTTAAAAGAATAGTAGTGTTTGGTCATGTTTGCGATCGAGCACGATTCAAATGTGTCATCGATGACAATCGTCAAAACCTTACCATCCTTCTTAGAATGGATGCTTGGGCGAGTTGGATATTCATATTGTGAATATCCAACTGTGTTTACTTTAGCGCTCCTCCTACAATATGCTTACCATCCTTCCCTGCTTTTTTGGAATTTGATTTCTTTAAAACTAAACATGTCTGAATTTTCAAAAGAAGTGTCGATGGCAGTGATGACCTGAAGGTCCTACTTTTCTAGATGTTCTTTGTCTTGCCTTGCCAGGTGGTGTTTCAAATATGGAAGGTACCAATTGGTCCACATAGTTTCTGTTGAGTATCTTGCCATTGTCAGGTAATTCATAAAAACGTTGTAGTGAAGACATTTGGCACATAGAAGATCTGTCAGAAGGCATTGTTGCCTCCATGTCTCAGATCTTACTCACTCTCATAGCGTGCCCTTGTTACGATGTTATTAGACCGAATATTTGCCTGACATCGTCCAGGATGATTTTCTTGTTGATGCTGTGCGCTAGTAGTCTGCCCTGGCACATGGTGGTGGCAATTAAAAAGCCAAGAGTCTGTGGGTCCAAAGAATGAATACAAAAAAAGGAGGGACTCAAATAACTAGAAAGGAGCTGAATAACAGTTAAGAGTTGAGTGTGTTGGTACATACTTGTTGATATATCAGCTTGAACTTTAGAAACATACTTAAACACAAAGAAAGAGAGGACAAACAGCTGGCTACCAACAATGTTTTAGTGTAAACTTCTTCCTTGTGTGTTTGCTTCTCATTCAGAGGCCAACGTAGAGCATGATCAGGGGCGGATTTAGAGGGGGGAGGGGTCCGGATGTCCTGATCCCCCTCTTGATTTCTGCATGTGTAAAATTTAAGGCGTGAAACCAGGGAGAGGGGGAGGGGGTACCTAAACATATGGTATGCTGACCAACACCTGACCCCCACCCCCTCAGGAAATTCCTGCATCTGCCCCTGAGCATGATAACCTTATTACAAAAATGAAACTATTGCACTAATAAAGATTGCTACTGGTAATTACACTTATACAAAATCATTCAAAAACTTTACACAGAATTTTCTAAAAATTATTGTTTTGAACTAACCCGCCACAAGCTCGTGCTGTTCGAGACGTAACATTTCATAAGTATTGTCTTCTTTTTTTGTGAATGGTGATAGATGGGGTGCCAACGCAATCTTCCGCGTGTTCCTCGATAGCGAGTGCCTTGACCATCTCGCATGCGTGATGAGGATTATTGTTACTGCAAGGATGGTTGTGGCAGGTTAGTTCAAAACAATAATTTTTAAGTATTTCTGTGTAAAGCTTTTGGTATAATTTTGTACAAGTGTAATTACCAGTAGTAATCTTTATTAGTGCAATAAGTTTATTTTTGTAATAAGGTTATCTTGCTGACTTCTGAATAAAGAAGCAAACGTGCAAGGAAGAAGTTCGCACTAGAACATCGTTGGTAGTCAGCTGTTTGTCTTCTCCTGTCTTTAAGTATTTTTTTCTAAAATTCAAAGCTGATATATCTACAAGTATGATTGCATATATTGGTTACTGGCTAATTTTTAACGGCTCAGGTTCCGGTTACAGTTCATGTCGGATAAAAATATTGGTTCTGTTCCAGTTACCGAATAAATTTCGTTCCTAAACAGTTTTTGGTTTGGGTTACGGTTACGGTTTGAGTTCCTGATTGAAAGTGCTATACTATGTATTTCAGCAATAATTCTCAAATCGCAGAATTCATGGACATTTAGTCAATCACAGTATTTCTTCGCCTGTAAAATTTTTTCTTTGCCTTTACGTTAGTGCACAGCTTTGATTTGGTTAAAGAAAACATTCCAAGGACACCTAAGCATTTCTTGTGAGTTGTGAATGCGAAAGCATCAATGTCCGCTCCCTTAGTTTGTCTGCGGTGTACTGGTGGGGACGGCCACGTTTTGCTACTGCCGAGGTTGCGGCCGCCGACGATATACCATAAAATACCGGGCAAGCACCCACTCAAAATTTAGAGATAATCGCGAAAAAATGGGGGATGGGCGCTTGTCCGGTCATCAATTTTACATATGAATGTACTCTGCATATTTTCTCAGACCATACAAATTTGGGTATGGGCACTTAGTGTGGTATGGGCGGATGCGCGGTATTCTATGGTAGATGCTTCAGGTGCCACCATGTTCCTCTGCGCTGAGAGAAGCAGAAGCAGATGCAGCGCTGGCAGGGAGTGCGGCGATGCGCCGCGCAGACCACCTCGGCTTGCTGGTGACAGGTGCACCGCTGGGTGAGGGAGTGGTGGGAGTGCTAAGCTCACCGTGGCCCCGGGAGTGCGAAGTTCGGCACGACGGCTTGCATCCCCCATCCGCTGCGCCGCCAGCAGTTTAGCTGCCTCCGTATCGATGATGACGCCGTTGCTATAAAGCCACCGGACGAGTCGCAGCCATTGGGAATTTATTGCTCTTTTCGCTGCTACATGCAATGTCAACTTCGCTCCGTGGGACAGTTAATGCTTTCGCATTAGAAATAATGTAGCTGACCGTAATTTTAAAGCTACTTTGCATATACAAGTGCTCAGTTATACAACTGAGTATGTTCTGTCCTTGTAATACTCTAAAATGATAAAAAATGGGTGTACCTCTTTAATTCTGCATTTCTCTTTTGCGTGTTTCTCCGACGAAGAACTATGGCAATGAACAACCAACGTGGTCATCCTGATACCTTTTATGCCTACATCCACAAGTATGGTATCATTATACTAATTTACGAAACAGCTTTCTCGTAACTTTTGGGCATCTGTTGCATCACCACACGATCAAATTGAAGACACGCCTGCCTGCCAGAACACGGAAAACAAAGAAAGAGTGAAGTAGCGAGTGGAATGTATCTTGAGAGATGGCTTTTATGCACAATGAATTGTGTTTTGTGTCCCTCAGTAATGCCCAAGCTGAAATTATGTCTGTTGTACCCTATACGGAATTCCCTGTTATTGCTATTGCTCGATTTTGAAGTTTGGCCAACTCTCTTGACAGGGGAGGCTCACTTCACTCAACGACCTGTTGGATCCGTCCATGGACTTCGTGTGGCGTTCACCGTCGCTGGTGGAGGAGGACCAGCCGTCCGTCGAGAACCGTGAGTTCGCAACCCCAGCTTTCTTTTCTCATTCTCTCTTTCAGATATATAGCCTTTCTTTCCTGGCCTTAGCACGCCATTTGTAGTGACATTGGCTGCATGTTAGAATCGCTTTTTGTAGCGGTGCCATTTAGAGGTGTGCGAATAATCTAAACATAATTTGCAAGCAGTGTTAACTATTCAGTTGCGAAATTTATAGCGCATGTTTACTCTTAGAAGTATTTGAGTTTTTCGAATATTAGAAAATCACATATGATATCTTCAAATTTCTTCCATTTCTCGTGTCAAGCTTCACTGCTTTGCACCGGCGTGCTATGAGACGCGTTCGATGTGTTGAAACTCTTTGGTTGTCTCAACGATCTCAAACGTTTTGCCCACTATTGTGGGTGGGCCGTCTTCGGTTATGATCATGGCTTGACCCCCGAGTTTGAAGGACAGTGGCAGAAAAGAAAGCATCAAGCCAGGCTGAAATGATTAAACGTAGCTTCTTACATTGTGTTCTATCCAGCTCGTGTTACGAGGGCTCTTTGTTTTCTTCATAGACGCATGCGAGATGTTGTTTGTGTGGTAAAACCATTCCTTTTTGTAGGTGTGGTTTCTAGACAAGATTTCCAGCCACAGTGTTTTAAAGTGTCCGTGCTCACTTTGCAATAAATGAAAAATATTCGTATTCAGAAATATTTGAATAAAATTCTTAGTTTAATTTTTATATTCCTGTTCAATTTTCAGTCAAATTTCATATTTGATTTGCAGTAAAAAAATTTATATTTGCACATCTTAGTACCGATAAACTAAAAATATATAATTTAGTATCAGCTATTGCACCGATGTGTAAGTACTGTATCAAGCTTAGGTGCAAGGAAGGCATAGTGTAGGTGTCGTCCTGAAATATGGTGCGATTTTGTTGTTTTGGGGCTATAAAATACTTTACTTTTGCGGCCCCAATTTTAGACAGCTGGGCATAGCAAACATGTTTGCAGCTCTTAAATTTTGCGAAATGTAAAGACTGGAATTTCATGTTTAAAAAATGTGAAATTACAAAGCTATCTCTGCTCTAGTTTAATTAGAGTGCAAACTGATTTTGAAACTCTTACATAAAAGAGCATGAAAGTTCAACCTTACGGTGACATACTTGTGCCCGTCTCTGCTCAAAGTGAATAAACACCCACAAATCTCGAGGTCACAAAATTATGCATTACTGTATATGTCGGCATAGGCTAGTTAGCATAAGCTTACATTGATCGATTTTTTTCACACCATGTTTGTACACCAGCAAATGAACCTCCATCTTCTAATGACATATATGACACCACAACCACTATTGTTCTCGTTCTAGTCTTTAGCTATTACTGGAGTCCTAGCTACCTAACGGTGGATTTCCATCTGAGGGCCCGTTCACACTCTTGCAACCTAGTACGACTGAGAGAGACGAGAGCTGGTTGAAACTTCTTAAAATTTCTTAAGACGAGAGAGCACACTGCTACGCTGGCGCCATCTATGCGGTGACCCTGGAACTGCATTTCACAAGAGCGAAGGTTTTGCGGGATTTCTGAGGTCAAATGTGCGTAATACCTTGTTTATAATAGCTTGTTCATAATGTTGACAAAAGTTTTCCAAGCCAAGAAAGAAGGGATAATGCGCGAGAGAAATAGAAAATATGCCGGACGGCCAAGTTTACACTGCTACCCAATAGATGGCACAGTGTGTCCTCTCGTTGTAAGAGGTTTCTAGAAACCCAGTTCTAAGAGGTTGCAAGAGTGTGAACGGGCCTTGATTGTTACAAAACTGATACCTTGGTGCAAAATACTTGTGTGTCTCTGGTAAGCAGCTCATTTTTACAGCGGAGCTGTTAAGGGCTAGTTTCCCCAGTATCGTGTCTGCCAGCAAACAAATGATGACACAAAACTCTGGACAACTACCGCCGTCGCTCATAGATGGCGGCAACCTTTCCAGCCTTTCCACTCTGGCTTGCCGACTCTGCGACTGGCCATTACTTCATTCCCACCATAGTACAGCTTTGCTGGTCTTCCTTCACCAGAGTGGAAACGCTAAAAGTTTTTTTTCTATAGGACAGCATCAGTGCAATAACATCCAAGGTTCATTAATTTCATGAATTTCTTCAGTCCCTAATGTGTCTTATTGTAACCTAGCAACATCTACGACCCAGGTGACGCCTTGCAAGATCTGTGCAGCCGCTTGGAGTCCGTCAGTGCAGATAAGTTTAACAGGGAGACACTGGGTGTGCTGCTTCACAACGCAGCTTCTGACTCGGGCATCAAGTACAGCCAGTTGATGCAAAGCCTGCGAAAGCTGCTCAGTGGACTGCAGGTGGGTAGTCGGCAGCTAGCTGGTGGACTGTACCTTTGCATTCTTGCGAAATTTATAGGTTACAGTGTGTCTTAATAAGCGATTCTCAGTATCGCTATGGCACCTGGGGTCTGAATTTGGTCAAAGTGAGAGCGAGAGCATTCTTGCCCTTCGATTGGATGTGGCAGCACGGCTTGCACGTGCTGCCACGTAACCAACCAGTGAGACATTTTTGACCCCTGCAAAACTTTGGCAAGACCGTCTCACCGACTGCCAAATGGCGAGAAATGCTTTGCGACCTCTGATGTGCTTGTACATAGTAGTCCTTCATCTACCAGTCAATGTCAGCTTGTGTACGGCAGCAGAACAACTGGAGGTTCGCAAGAAAAGTGTCGGTTGTCAATGTCTTCCAACGTGAAATAGCAGACGATCACAACTTCCCCCCGTGTCCTACCTCACTCCCCTGTGGCGCTGGGTTCATAGCAGACGATAAACTTTTTTCGGTTCGTAAGCAAAGGATGTACAATGTTTTCTTGTTTAATTTCCTTCTGCAAGTATTTCTTTCCAGCAGACAAACTGCATTTTTTGCTCGCTGTAGCAAATTAACTACAGTGTAGACCGCATATGACATGTCGCGGGAGTCGCGAAAATCCGCACTATAAGTGGTACCGCACTATAACCAAAACATCAATTTTCAGGCCAAAAAACATGCCATGAGACAACTTAACTTTGTAAAAGAATTTATTTTATGTTAGATGAAAAATAAAGCTTAGTTTGAGGAAAGTCCTTATTTCACCAGACTAGTACACTTCTCTCTCAAGTGTGTCACAAATTTTGAAAGAAATGAGCGACTTTTGCCTGGTGCAGCCTTTTAACGGCGTCACGGGTTGTGGACGGACGTTGCGAGCGTTCAGGATAGCTAACCCTAATCACTTTTCTCCGGTGATGAAAACATGTGAAAATTCGCATCCTTTATATGGTACGCACCATAATACCTTCAACTTGAGCACAGGCATGAAATGCGCCAAATAAGAAATCCGGGCGATGTTCGAAAACACAAATGCCTAGAAAGCACCTCTGTAGTCGGAAGTAAATAAATAAGACGACACGGGCGTTTCTGCTGTCTTGAAAGTGCTGCCACGACATTGCCGCACGAGTAGGTGGATCTTCCCTTCTAGTACGTGCTGGGTTAGCATAGCGACACACAACGAAAATTCACAGTCAAGGATAGCGCTTTTACGCGGAACGATGAGTTTCCACCACGCCGTCTACGCCGACAATCACAACTGACGCCATGTTTGCGGATAGAAGAAGCCGGCCCGCGACCGGCACGCAACGCGCGCGAACACTTGTCCTCGACTTGCGATTGGTCTGTCGTTGCGGTTGTTTCCAACGCAGCGGAGGGACGCACGCACGTGAACGACACGTGCGTGCGTCCCTCCGTCGTTATGGCAACTGAAGCCTCTCTCTTCGCTTCTCCCCGCTTCTTCGAGCAACCTCCTTGCACCGGTTGGTCGGCGCGGTCGGCGGGCTGTTCCAGAAACCGCACTATAACCGGTATTTCCCTTCGTGCGCCTGCATTTTAAGCGGTATGTAATTACATGGAGTTCTATGGGAGGCAAACCGGTGGTTTAAAAAAGCCGCGTTATACCCGGTCCTGCACTATAAGCGGTTACGTTGTAAGTGGTCTATACTGTATCTAGAAACACCATCTTCGCTCGCTCCGTGAGAGCCAAATTAGATCTCGCGATTAACAAAATCGGATTCCTGGTGCATGTCTGACTTGCATGTTTTCCACGCCCTCAATAGTGGTCCCCTGATTTCCGCCTGATGACATAACAGAAGCGTCATGCTTTCGCCTGCCGCAATCCTGGCGGTGGCACGGCAGCAGAGGTGAATGCGGCAGACGGCCCTTCTGCCATAGGTCACTTTATGGCCAGAATGTCGACGGAAACTGAAGCAGACTCAAGACGGGACACCGCGATGACAGCGACCCTTGCGGCTGCTCACCCTCTTCGCCAACCTTTCTATGGCCAATCGCCAGGATCACGACGCCCGACGGCATGACACACCGATTCCTGCGACGTCCTTTGTTTACCCTATTGGGACCACTTTCGATGCATGGGAGAAACAGGGCAGTAAACATGCCAATCACAAATGGAGTACAGGCACTGTCACATCACTGCACCAAGGAGGACAGGGTGCAGGATCAATTAGAGCCAGCTCCAATGTAGGGAACTTAAACTGCCACAGACTTTCAGCATCTTAAGCACCCGAACAAGAGAGCAGACAGCATTTTCCCAAGTTCCTGGGTGGTTGAGATATTGAAAGTTCACCAGCTCACCTGTATGTTCTATGTTATTTCTGTCGTGCCACAGACCGTTTTTTGCTGGACAGTTTGGCTGGACAGTTGCCCCCTCTTTTTATTTATACTTGCCACGACCAATCGGAACAAAAGAGCACCATTTAAACAGGATTTTTTTTTTTGTTAACATCCATAGGCACATTTTTTTCCAGACCCTAGCACATAACAGCTTCACGATTAGATATGTTAAGAAATCGCAAGAATCGTACAGCAAACGTAAAAGTTTATGCTTTAAGGCAGGTTCTATAATATGGTGCTACAGTCCCTTGTGCTGGTGTCATATACAGTCTAAGTTTGTTATAACAGACCTTGATTTTGAGCAAGATTTCGGTCTGTTGTAAAAGGAGTATGTTGTATGCAGATATGAAGTTGAGTCAATTGTGTGTGGAGGAAAACCATCTGAACTTCACAAATCGGGATGTTATATCCAAATGTCTGTTGTAACCAGGTCTGTTGAAATGAGCTTAGACTGTGCCGATTGCACTTTGTCAGTGCTTTTCTGTTCTTGCCACAGTGCAAGGAGATTTGGGACAGGTATACGCGGCAGCGCTTTTGACAACGCACTAGCGGTGCTGTTGCGAAGTACAGTACAATTTCAATAAACGGAACCTGAAGGGACCAGGAAAATCTGTTCCATTTATCAGGAGTTTCATTTACTGAGACTATGGAGTTTATAAATACACTAAAAATGTTAAATGCCAGCCTAAATGCCGTTTCCTCAAGTCCACAATTTGTAAACACCAGCTAGTGAATGTAGAAGGCAAAACAATAACAAAAACACCAAATTGCTGCTTTTGTATATCCACGCAAACTGTGTAAAAAAGTTGAACCAATATTCCTGTTCCCCATTTCCCTCTTTCCATGCTCTCTCCAGGGTGTCTCTAAAACAATCATTCACTGAACAGAAAAAAACGAGGAGATCTTGGTTTGTTTAAGATCTAGCAACCTCTTCTTTTCTCTCCTTGTCGTGAGGAATCCTTGTCAGGCTACTTTTGAAAATGGCATATGTTGCAAGCGCCGTTTTCGTGATGCAACCGCTATCGAAATCGCCTTTCTTTTTAATGTGAGCGCATGGTGTTGTCGCCCCAGTGCCACCATCCCAGAAACTAGGCCACTAGGCCTAAGATGCCAGCGGAAGCCCTGTTGAGCCAAGCCTAGGCAGGCTCGGGGTGGGCGCAACTGCTAGATTGGGGATCACGGGATATGGACGCCATTTAATTGCTGAATTTTGTTGGGAGTCTACGGGGCAAAGGGTTGTTTCATTTTTTAACTCGGGTCATCAGAGCCCATTAAAGGGGTACGGAAACAAAAATTGAAATATTCGAATTTCGTTCGGAAATGGGTCAAGCATGACGCATAATAACCGTAAATGATAATCGCACGTTTGTATTTTGAACGACTGGCTACATTTTTCGTTCCAAACGGTGCACTTGAGAAAGCGCTCGAAGAGAAGTGAACGGAGAGCGCGATGCGTCATGGGATATCCGGCACAAACAAAAACAGAAAGAAAGGATTTTTCGCGTTCGTGGTGTAGCAAGGCAGGCGTGGTTATGAGCTTTGCCCTTGGTGGCGTTGTCAGCGCGTTACAACCGAGCCGTTCAAAGTACCCGTGGGGTGACGAGCGTGTGGCTGGCCCAAGGAGCACGTAGCGCACGTAGCTTCCACAACACTGTCAGCTTAGGGCTGAACGGGGTAGGGAAAGCAACTTTTGTTCGAGTTTTGAGCGACGGGCTAATCTTCTAGGCGGAGAATGGCTGTTTCCGGTTGCACGAACGAGGGTCCGAGAAAGAAGGGAGTCCTTCCTTTCTGTCTTCTTGGACCGTTTGGTACAATGCGCGATTTGTGAGTTCAGGAGGAGAGCTAAGAGGGAAAATGTTGAAATGCCAAAGAGTGGCACTGCTCCGCAGGAATCTGCTACGTCACGATTGCATAGCAGATTCCACAACGTTGCTAGACTACCTCCCAAATAGGCTCTGCATGCATCCACCAAGTGCACATTGAAAGATCGTTTATTTAGCTTTAAAGTTAGTTTTCTTGTGCCTTTCAACGGAAGACTGGTGTTCTTGAGGTTAGGGTGCAACACGCAACACATTAAAGCTAGAAAATGAGCGGTGGAATTTCGTTTCCCTACCCCTTTAATGTCCTTGAAAAATTTATGCAAGGTATAAATGATTACTTTTCTATAGCCACCAGTTTTGTTTCGATAGGTTATTTGATTAACGCGAAAAATGGTAAATTCCGCCATCTTGGACGCTGCTGCTTGTCTGGTAACCCTGCTTTCTCCTCTCGATGTTTGCAATTCCCGGAGCGAAAAGGAAGTGAGAAAGGCTACGCCAAGGCGTTTGTTGCTTGCAGTGGGAGGCGAGAGGAGGAAAGGCACATGAGGCAGTTGCAACAGAGCGGGTGTCTGCTCTCATGCAGGCAACATTGGAGTATATCCTTTCCCAATCCTCTCCCTCAGGCGCCGCCATTAAATTGCAAGCGCTCTCCAGGATTTGAGTCGCACCCACCCTCACTAGAGCCTCCCTAGCCATGCCTACCCAACACAACCACCCATTCATAAAAAGCCAACAAAAAAAAAAAAAACATGCATACATGCTCATTTTGGGCAATAAAGCTAATAAATATTCAAAACATTTTTCATGCTGCTTTATTATTCAGAGTTCTTTTTCTTTTCTGCAATACCAAAACTATCTGTCGGTTTTCAGTTCCGTTTACCCGAGGGCGCGAGAATATGAGTTCCGATCAACAGGAATATTCTGAAATTGCTTGAATACAAAACCAAACAACTCCGAGATAGTTGTTTTGTTTAAGCGACAATTCCGTTTAAGCGATTTCCGTGCAACGAGATTCTACTGTATTCGAAGCAGAAAGCAAGATAGCTTTTCCTTGCACCACGCACAGACTACATATTTTTAAGGCCTTATCGAATGAACTAACCATGTACCTGTGGAGGGTATAGGGTCTGTTTGCAAATAAAATGGCTGGTTTTGAGCCATCCTTGGAATTGCATGGAACCTGCACCCCTGTCCGGAATGAGCATAAAGTTTTAGGTATCACCTTTGACTAAAAGTACTGAGAGCCCTTCCCCCCCTTGAAAAGGGAAGTCCAGCGAAGTTGGCGCTTTGGTGGAATTTGCTAAGTCAAGCTGGGAGCAGCGGCAATGGCGGTTTCATGTTGGCGGCGTGCCCATTCTTGCTTCTGGGCGCGCCGGCGCTCCTCGTTCTCCCGCTGCTCCTCTTCAGAACTTACAACACGGGTACGACCCATATGAAGTCTGAAGTCCAACTGATAAAGGACAGTGGCGCGATCGTCGGCAGGTGGCCACCGAAGAGCGCGCGGCATTGTGCAATGTTGGGGGGAGGGAAACGCCACGCGTAAGGAAGGCATGTGCTTGCGGCGCCGGCGTCTGCAGCAGTAACTGTTCTAAAGCAAAAGCCTAAAACAAATGGCATCTTGCACACACGTTTGTCAATCTTTTTGTTATTTATACTTCAAATCTTTTATACAGGGAGGGCACGCGTGTGCGGCGCCGGCGTCTGCAGCGTTAACTGTACAAAATTGTTGGTCTACGCTCAGTCTGACGCCGGAGACTATCTGCCAGAACCTAGCCATAGACAGCTTTGCTGTAGAAAGCTTAATTTTGTATCTCATCTAAAGTCACTCAAAAGAAAAGTGTCTTAAAACTGCCAATCTTCTAAAAGTCTTAGCCCATAAATCACAAGGATCTGACAGGAAATGCTTCCTTTGTCTGTGTAACGCTCTCCTTCGTTCCTGTACCTAGAATACGGGGCTCCAGTTTATGGTTCTACACGGCCGTCTGCTCTTAAGATGTTGGATCCTATTTGTCACCTTGGTCTGCGACTTGCAATGGGTGCTTTTCGGACGTCTCCTGTCCTTAGCATGTACGCTGAATCAAACGAGATGTCGCTCGAGAAAAGACGCCAATACCTAAGCTTAACATACAACTACAAGGTACTTGCAAACTGTAGTCATCCAACCTACCATGCTTTTCTGCAGGCTAAAGGGTCTCGATTTTGTTGCCTTTTCAAAAACAAGCCAAGCGTTGTGAGGCTTTTCAGTTTTTGTATGCAACACTTTGCCTGAACAATATTTTTTGCGGAATGTAGACTGTGTTGCCCTGGGACATATTGCCAGTTGTCTGCGACTGGACCTGCACTAAGTTTAGTAAGCGTAGTGTTTTGACCCTTGTCATATTCAGCAAGAATTTTCTAAGCTATGAGGGTCATATGCACTTCTACACTGATGGAGCTAAGACTTAATCTTTTGTTGGCACTGCCGTGCATTCTAATCAATTTACAAGAGTGAAACGTCCGAATACTTGAGCCAGCATTTTTACAGCAGAATTTTATGCAATTTCTACAGGTATAGACTATATTCTGCAAACTAAAATAAAGCGACAGCCTTATTTGTAGACTCCCAAAGTGCTCTTACTGCACTCTGCTCTTTTAAAAGTTACTAAAATATGCTTGTGCAGCAACTGAGAAATCAACTTAATAATGCTATGCTCGGAGGTCTTAAAATAAAATCTTGTTGGGTTCCCAGTCACATGGGAATAAAAGGAAATGAAGAGGCGGACAGACTTGCCACATCCTCGGCTAATCTTCCACCGTCTCCCGCCTGTTTGCCATACCGAGACATCAAATCTCTATTAAAGTCATCACTTCTCTATTTATGGCATTCGGAGTGTAACATGCAATGCACTAACAAACTTCATTTTGCAAAGCCGGTGCACGGGCTGAGGGAGAGCTCTTCACTCAGAAACCAATTTCATGAAGTTCTGTTATGTCATCTTTGCATTGGCCACTCTTACATCACTTGCAAGCATCTTCTTTGTAGGGAGAACCCACCAGTTTGAGAGCATTGTGGAGATGCTATTACCCTGCTACATATTTTATGGTTTCGACATCGAACGTCTTATTCATTTTCCTGAATGTTTTCGATCCCAAATTCTATTCCATCTTGCTTTTTTACTTGGAGAATAGCCTTTCATCCCATTTGACCGTCTCTTATATTACCAGCATGGGCCTTATACACCAGATCTAATCCTACTTAAAGTGGCGCTAAAGAGGATTCTGCGATCGCCTCTTCTTGGTCATAACTGATTCTACGGGCCCTAAGCATCCTAAAACTCCAAAAATTACAATCACACGACGTTGATTTCTCTATTAAAAATGTGATGAAAGGTCGGGACGCATTACTTTCTGGGCAGAATTTTCTGCTCCGGAAAGGCGGGGCATACCTAAGCAGCGGTGACAAGGAGCGCTCGTTGGCCGATTGCAAGCCACCTTTCTCGGAGAGGCGCGGCTTGAGATTGGCCAACGAGTGCCCATCGTCACCGCACTGACACTGCTGCTAGGGTATGCCCCGCTTTTCCTGAGTGCAAACTTCCTCTCAGAAAGGGGTGTGTCCTGATCTTTCATTGTGTTTTAGAGCGCAGCTCTTAGGGGCCCGTTTCCGGCTTGAGCGGCGTCGGCGTCGGCGTAACCGCGCGGTGCATCATGGGAAATGTCCCATAATGCACCGCGCGAGCCCCCCACCGGGGTCACGTGACTTCGTGGGGGGCACGTGACCCCCCGAGGTCACGTGACCCCCGAAGTCACGTGACTCTCCTGAGGTCACGTGACTCCCCTGAGGTCACGTGACCCCCTCCTCGAGGTCACGTGACCCCCCGAGGTCACGTGACCCCCGCCGATGTCGCGGGACCCCCCGATGACGTCATCGACACTGATGACGTCACCGGCATCCACATAGTCATCGTCATCATCACTGATGACGTCATCATCAGTGATGATGACGATGACGATGCGGATGCCGGTGACGTCATCAGTGATGATGACGATGACGATGTGGATGCCGGTAACGTCATCAGTGACGATGACGATGTGGATGCCGGTGACGTCATCAGTGATAATGACGATGACGATGTGGATGCCGGTGACGTCATCAGTGACGTCACTGATGACGTCACCGACGTTCGCATCGTAATCGTCATCATCACTGGTGAAGTCATCAGTGACGTCACTAATGACGTCATCGGTAGCCGCATCGTCATCGTCACTGATGACATCATCAGTGACGTCAGTGATGACATCATTGGCATTGGGGTCACGTGACCCCCAAGGTCACGTGACCCCCCAAGGTCAAGTGATCCCCCCCCCTGGTTAGTCTAACCCCCCCCCCAGTGCCCTTCCCTCCTCCTCCTCAAGAGCTGCGCTCTAATTCGGCGTTACAGGGAGTTGTAAGCGGCTTTCACTTTTTTTAATCAAGAAATCTATGTAGCGTGATCGTAATTTTTGAATTTTTAGGGTGCTTAGGACTCGTAGAATCGGTTATTACCAAGAACAGATGATTGCGGAATCCTCTTTAATGCCCCTTCAATTTGAAATTTTTGTTTTTTATAACACGTTAGGTATAGTAGTGTTTTTTTTTTTTTTTATTTAGTTTGGCATAGGATGGCCTTTGTAGCTGTTGTACCATGAAGCCCACAAACAACAGCAACCGTCCGTAGATGCACTGATGTGGAAGGACGCTAGTGCATCAAAGGTGCTTACTGCCTCATGCCCGCCTATACAGAGTGTGTCAGTCCAAACTACATGGCAAAGCTTCAGAACTAACCATTCTCTCATTCAAAAGTGAGAAATGGTTTTCTAAACTATCCAATGGGAAAGTGACAGTCGACGGAGCTCTCGAATACCTGGAGCTGAATGGCGCCAGTTACCGAAAGAGGGCGAAAATGGGCCCCATTTTTCCATTCAAAAATTTTAGAAAGTCACTTACTTTTGAATGAAACAACGGTTAGGTAATTTGGCATCTGGTTCGCCAGTGTTACTTTTGGGCTGAGAAGGAGCGTTTGGTCATGTACAATTAATTTTTGCAGTGAAAAAACAAACAAAAAAGAAACACAAAACTTTTGGGGGGACGTGTACTTTTACAGATGTCTGCAGGCAGAAAGCTCGACAACCTGAGAAAGATTTCACATCAACGATGTACAGATATATTTTTATTTGTTATTCCTTACTTCTCACAGATATTCCAGTGAGCACCCTCATTTTGCTTCGTAGATTGTTTATGTTACCTGATCCCCACAGAAGAACTGCACAATCTGAGTAGGCGATGGCTGACATTACCTTCCCTGCAAATTTTAGACACTTTCTACTAGGTGACGGTGTTTTTTCCTCCTCAGATCCTCGTAGCCATTACCACTTGGTAGAGAAAGCAAAGAAGACAATATACTACCAGCTTGATGTTGGCATAATCTCTCAAGTTTGTTTGTCTCTGGGCTATTTAACCATAGCTTGGCCCAATTAACCTAGCAATAGTAGTATTTTTCGAAGGACCTGTTCTTGAGCCACGTGCAGTTTTTGGAAGTCAATGAATGTGCGCGTAGAACCACTCTCACAGTTTGCCTCGACGCAGGTAATTTTATTCGCAAGTTGGTGTCTTCGTTGAACACGCATAAAGTGAGGGCAAATTATACGCACCAGCAAGGGCAATGAAAACCGCGGTGAAGTATATTATATGAAACCAGACACACTTTTAACATTGGCGTTCTGGTGGTCTTGCACGAGCCTTGAGCCTTCTTTGTTTTTCTCCCACAGAAAGGCCCGGGAGTAGCGGAGATGATGACACTGCTGGGGAAAGAGCAGACGCTACTGCGTCTCCGGAAGCACATCGACCAACGAGGCTCGGAAAAGAGTTGTTCCAGGGGTTAACAAGCACAAGTATGTCATGGAACGATGTTTCGGGCACGCTGTCGTTATCATACAGATAAAGTTTTCTATTTGCACCGAGCTACACGACGTTGCTAAGCTGCGTTGTGACCGCGTCATTGGAGTCGCCGGAAGTGGCTCAGAAGTGCCGATAGTTTGGATATCCTACCGCCCCCGTGATGTAGAGTGAATTCAAATCGAGGTACATAAACTGAGCTTTGTGCTTGGTACAGTGACATATAGGGTATTACCAATTCAACAAACTTCGAGGGACCTCACGAAAAAGTTTGCTTAAGTGAAAGTTCACTCATTCGAAGGCATTACACACAATGGCATTTTGCTGGGGATTTTACGAAAGTTTGTTCGTCTAAATACTAGTTTTGTTCAACTGCAGTTTGTTCAAGCAATATATAGTTTGCCGTTGTGTTGAGATGCCGCAGGCGGTGCCATACCCCGTTTGGCGACATCGGCAAGATTAGGATCCATACGCTTCGGCCGTTTGCAAACATACCGACTTTGTCGGACAGAAAAATAGTAGTCCTTTCTAAACTATCGTGATAGGTCGTGGTGCTCGTAGTATTTACAGGTAGTAGACCGAGCATGTGTCGTATCTAACGTAGGAATTTGTTCTTCCCCAAAATGCTGCGTCTCCTAGCAGGGGGTAAGCCGTGCGGCGCAGAAGGTGACGCGTCCACCGATGTTAAAGGGATGCTGCTCAGCCAGTCTTCTGTTCCGAAAGACATCTTGTAGCTGCACTCATGACTCGGTCGCCGCAGGTTGCCATCTACAGCGTCCGATCCCATTGACTGTGGCATTTCGGCGTTCTTTTTTCTGCGGGAGAAGTTCTCAGACCACACCCTCCATGGACTCCTCGTCATCCTGCTGGGTTAGACAAAGTGAAGAAAGACCATATTGTCGTGGATATCCAAGATAAGATGGGTTCAGAACTAAAAATAAATGTTTTAATGAGACAAACTTGCGCCCGTGACTATAGCATTGTTTTGTTTCGGGGTACAAAACGGCGACCAACTCGCAGCACTGTGCTACTGCTTTTGTACACTCAGTGTGTTCACGAATGTTCTGAATAAGAATTCACAATAACAGACAAGAATGAACTGAAACTTTCCAGCACAGACAAAGCAAAAAAAAAAAACTGGGCTGGCGTGCATTAAATTTTGTACCGTTCCATGGCAGCCACGAGTAAAGCCAACTCCACTATGGATGCGACAATGTCAGCGTTTTGTTAACTGGATTTGGTATTCGATGGTGAGGTCTTGGGCACTGCCAAATTTTGCTTTCATGGGTCCATGTGTTCATTTTCAACGAAAAGGAAAAGAATATGCTTCTGTAGCATTTTATGATTAACAAGCAGGCATACACTGAATATGCAGTTCCAGAGACATATATGTTTCGGCATTTAAGGTTTGCGGCATTTGTATGTCAACTTTGGAAATAGCAGCACGGAGGCTAGCGCACTCGCAGCATTCTGAGCTTCAACTTGGAAGGTGACTGATGAGTGTTTGTCTTCTCTCTAGTACTCTGAACATAACGATTTCAGAAGTTGAAGGTTTTGCTAAGAAACTACAAAACAGAATTCCAAAAACTTTTTCTTAAATTAAGAAAAAATATTTTTGCAAGAGTGCTAGAGAAAAAATGTGTACCTAAAAATATTTTAGGTGCACATTTATATGTAACTTGCGCACCTAACTGCGCCATGTGCTCCGAATTTATGGAAACTATAACTACTAATCAGAGGTAACTTTGTCATTATAATTAATTTCTATTCACTTTTTATGGCGTGAGTCTAAATGAGGTGCCACTTGTGTGCAGGTTTTGCAGTATGTGAAATAAAATGTATGCACTATTTATCATGGTCACTTATAACAGTTGGAATTATTTCATCCCTATGACAAAAAAGAGTACTAATGCATCAAAAATAAATAAATGTGTGCAAACCAGAAGTGGGCCTGGGCCACACGATAGATGATGCCACCAAGTTTGTTGCCAAACAGAATTAAGCTGAATACTGACTAAATGCTTGCCTACATACTCCTAGAAAGTTCGGTACTATGCAATAAAAGTTGCAGATTTTTGAACCAATTGACAGGCCAAGCTTTCTTCACAAGTGTCCTCTTTACTGGAAGAGGATGCTGAAAACATGCTTGAGCATGCTTTTCTAAATTCTGAGGCACTGCACCCAAGTTGCGAGAACGAATCGTGAAATGACTAAAAGACATTGGCTTTGAATGAATTTGTTTTCCCCACAAGTCTGACACTCACCATGGCATTCTTGCCAGTCAACTTGAGGTCTTCAATAAACTTGTTGCTGGCCTTGTCCGCAGACGTTGGAGAACCCGATGGCACGCTTGGGAACAGTCCTGTGCAGACAAGGTTCACACGAGGGCATTCACTACTTTGAAGGGAAGCCCCCGTGTAATACAGGGTATCCCAAAAACGACTTACTGGGTTTTCTGCGCCGCAAAAATAAACTGTGCATCGCCAAACTCTCATAATCCGCCCAAATGTAACGTTGGCGGTCTGAACAAGATGCAAAAGTTTCAGAACCATAAACTTTATTTTATTCGAAAGTTATAGGCAATTTTCTGGAAATGTCAATGGAAAAATGGCGGTCGACTAAGCTCTCAGATACATGAAGGTGAATGGCACTGTTTATCGAAAACTCGCAAAAATGGGCCCCATTTTTTTATAAAAACTTTTAAGGAAGTCACTTGTAACTTTGAACGAGATAATGGTTAGTTCTGAAACTTTGGCATCTGGTTCGGACCTCTAGCACTACGTTTAAGCGGAGAACAAGCATTCAGCAATGCATAGTTTATTTTTGCGGTGAAAAAGAAACAACCCGTAAATATTTTGGGAAGGCGGACACCTTGTATATAGGGTCCTGTGTTTTCGGTATCTACCGACAAGCCCCTTTGAGCTGGCTACGTCAAATACGAGGAAAACCAAAAAACCCGAAATTGGAGCTGTCCTCGAATAAAGAAAAAACTGGGCTTCAGGGGAAGAGTTCTTTATCTACAGCTTTATTTCCCATTGGCTCAGAAAACAGCCCACACTGAACTGTTCGAGAGGCTGTTTCTTTCTTCAGCAACCACACACCAAATGTTGTTTCCCTCTCTCATCATTATACCAGGACGTTTTATAAAGTATGCGGGTCAGGTTCATGTTTTTTGGCGGTTGGGGAATCTGACGCCTGTCTGGTTTTCTTCACCTAATGCCCCCATAAGCAACTTTTTTTTTTTTTTTTTTTGCAAAGCAGACTTTTTACTGTTTTTTTTTAATTTGCATCAAACCTGACCGCACTGAACGTAGTAACTTAATGAAACTTCTCTTTTCTTGAATTTCGCTTTATTTTAAAAGTTATAGGCAAATTAATATTTCAAAAACAAGCAAAAAATAATCTCCTTCATGACGTCCTTGGTCGCTTGAGTGGCCGTGAGGGATAGTGAGCTCATCGAGCGCTCACGGCTGCCGCACTCCGTGTCGACGACTCGAGAGGGCGCCACTAAAGCATGTTCTGGATAGGCTGTTTGAAGCGGGCAGCCAGGGCGGCACGCATTGCATTTGCTGCGCGATTAAACACTAATTCGGCATGACACTTCAGTGGCCACAAATGGCAGCAAACACGGGGTAAATATCAGTTCAGAACGGGAGCCACTTCGCGTTGCCATAACGCCAAACCGCAAGCCAAGCCTACTCCTAAGGCCTTCGGAACGTTCGGAACCGGTCGGATCCTCGACCGCAGCGCCGCCGCGTACATCCGGGACCTTTCCGCGTCAACGCCTGATCCCACTACACCTTTCTAGTATGCGCCGCCTTTTCCACCGCTTGGTGGCGGGTATGTCGACGGGTCATTTCCTGTTTCCATACTTCATAAACTGCATTTGTTTCGTTTCTGATCTAAAAAAACCGAACAAAAACTACCTTCATTAATAATTTAAACAGTTCGCGCCACTTATATTGTGTATTTCGACAAAAAAGAAGCTTTTAGCGCTTCGGGCTGACCGGTAGTAAGGCCAGGACCAAAAACGTCACATATCGTTGTCGTCTGTCACCACCTCAGTCTCGGGTTTTTCACTAAAATGTTTCACATATCGCGTGCTTTCGGCACCGCGGCGTGGATCGCCCCTGTAGGTGGAGGAAGTTCCCGCGTCGTCCGGTAACATGACGCACTGATATTTAGTTACTCTCGCCATGCCCACTGACTTGCCTGAACCCCAAGAGACGTGGAAACTGCAAGAAAGGTAGACGCTTAAATAGGATTGCAGGGCCCCTTTAAAGAGCATCTTTGCCCTCCTCCTTTTTGCGGGCACGGTAGGGAAACCACTGAAGGGCACTTTGCAAAAATTTTCTGAATATGTTTTTTTTTTTCTTTTTTTGCTTTCCAGATTTGTTTTTTAAAAAAATGCCGTGAAAGCTACACTAATGCAGTTTATATAGATGAGTTGTGTTCCCAGGGGGACATAATACGGGGGCTGATCGTCTATAGATAAGTGGGCTAATGAACTAAACTATGTTAACTTTTTAATTAGTGAAAGTAAACATATGGTTCCAGTTGGAAACTGGCTGGGCGTCATTTAAAATTATTAAATCAGTCAAGTTTAGAAAGACCTGGAGCATGTGGGAAGCATGGTGCAGCAGGACCAAGTCTACCGGTGCGATAACGCGCCGGCGCTGTTTTTCTTTCTTTTATCGTCCGTGTTGTCTCACCGCCAGCCTTGTGGCTGTTGCACAAGTGTCAACTTTAGTGCATTATTACGCTTCTTACACGCTCAATTTATTTCTAAAAATTACTGATTTAGTGGTTTTCGATGACGCTCAGTGTGTTTCTAATTGGAACCATCTGTTTATTTTCACTAATTAAAAAGTTGTTGAACAAATTTTAATTAGTTATTCGACTTATTGCGAGGATTAGCCCACTATATTATGTCCCCCTGGCTGCATAACTTACCTGCACAGACCGCATAGTGTAGCTTTCATGGCATTTTAAAAACAAATCCGCGAAGCCTAAAAAAACGCCCTGGCCTTCAGTGTCATGTGGCACTAGTGTTATGTGACGTCATGGTGCCATGTTGCATCACAATGTCACGTTCTGGTGCCACCTGACATCGTCTCGTGTCACCCAATCTCGTGACCATGCAGGGGACACGAGGTCACGTCACGTGACATCACAAAAGACCTCTAAATGCTACGCATTTAGAGCGCATTTTAGACGATGCCAAAGTGTCATCGACGTCATCGAGGCTCATAGTTGTCCTACCCGGGGCCTTGGTGCACTGGGTGAGCTGCTGGTAGACCTGGCGTATGCGCTGCAGGTTGACCCTGGACGCGTCCTGGTGGTTGACCATGGGCAGAGGGTAGTCGCGGCCGACCACGCAGCGGGCCGCCACCTGCACCTGCTCCGGTGCGCTCCACGGCTCGTGGATATACTTGTTGGGGAAGTGCTTGAGCACCGGCAGGTAACGCCTGGGAAGGGAAAAGAGCGCGTCCGTTCGTTCCACTCTTGCAGACGTTGGAGTTACACTCTCCCGCTGGAGCGGAGGGGATCGAGCGGCCGTGGTGGTGGTGTGGTACTTGGAACACGTCTCCGACTGGTGTATCTTCCGCGTTCTCAAGAGCGGTCCTCCGATCTCCGCCTAACGACGTCATAGAAAGCGGCCCAAAGGTGCCAAAGGTTCCGAACTTACAAATTAGGATTGTGCGAATATTCGAATTTTCAAATAGTAGTTTCGAATATTCGATATTCGATTTCGAGATGAACCGCGATATTCATACTTTTGAAAGTGTTAATCGCGGCGGGTTAGCCCCGCTGAGCGGGCTTCTTGCCGAGCGCCGGTGCACTGCGGAGAAGCAACAGCCGCGGAGCTCATCTCGCCGCAGCGCAGCCGAGTGCTTCGAAAATCTCTCTCACAGTTAAAACAGGCGCAAGAGGGATTTTCTGGTCAGGTGACCGGCTCAGAGCGCAGGAAGTACTTAGCATTCCAATCGATTCCGCTCGGAAGACGTAAGCTTTGCCTGTCATTTTCACGATCTCCCCTAGAAATAACTTCACATGCCACTCCTAAAGTATACTGGTTACTTTCACTTTATATTTCGAGCCTCTTCACCCCTTTTCTGCATACGAAGTCGGACTTCAGTAATCGAAGCGATGACGGAATTGTGGGAGCCATTTGCCTCTGTCAGCGTTAACAATTGTGCACTTCATAGTCAAGGCTGGTGCAGCTTTACTGTGCTCTAATGCTGTCAAACCTACTTGTACGAGCGCGACGTTTTGTTTGACGTCTTCTCGCGTCGCGAGAGCGCGTGCGAGTCGGACACAATACGAAGCCAAGTGCTCGTAGCACTGCTCATCTGAAGCAGTGTGGAAGCTACGCTAGCCTTGACACCGTAAAAAAAAAAAAAAGTTTTTGACCCGTTTTTTTTTTTTTTTTATTGTCTTCATGAAGCCAGTTATGTGACCAGAAATTCTCTCTTAAAGCTATTTTAGCCGCCGGGAGAGATACCCTCAATCACGAGCAATTTTTTTTTTTTTTTTTATGTATATAAAAAGAATTGAAAACTTTATGAATGTTATTATCTACATTGCAAATTTTTTTTTATTTTTTTGTGGTTATTGTGCATGAGTATGATGTAGGGTGCGAAACTATCGATAGTATCGATAGTTGAACCTAAATTTAACTATCTATCTATAGTGAAAAAACTACCAATAGTGCTATTGAGAGTCGACTCTCGGAGAGCTATCGATAGTAGGACATTTTCGTAGATCGTTTTTGCCGTTGCGCAACGCTCTCCGCCAACCCGCTACAATACCCGGAACTCTACAGTCAAGGCCATCGGCGCACGGGCGCAGTAACGGCTTCGTTGCGGAGGGCTCGGTCTACGAAAACTCCCTACTAGGGGTTTTTGTAGACTAACAGCGCTTAGCGGCATTCCTTTCTAGCAGAGCCAGTGTATCACGTTCATTTTCCTTGCGCCGCCAACTCTATTGTCAGAGAAGCGGTCACGTGCGCCGCTCTGGATCCGACTTTCATGAGAGGAAGCGCCCTTGCAGGCGCCGAGTTTCGGGCGAATCGTGTTTCTCGCTTTGCGTTTGCGAAATACACGCCCTACACTAAAATCGAGCGAACTGAAAGGTTCCTTGACTTTTGAACATCATATGCAGCCACTGGGTACAGTTAAATCGCGTTGCTTTATAACGCGAGCGATGTTTTAAAGCATGTTTTCGAAGTCCGGGAAGCAGACGACACGGAGAACGATCGCCTTGCTCGCGTCTGCGGCGCTCGCGGAGTGATACGCGACCAGCACATCCGGACCACGTCGGACCATACAACAACGAGCACCTACGGCTTGTGAAGGGGCGACGTTTTCGTCGGCTACTACGTTCTACGGAGGGCATAGGAAGAAACAGGCGACAGATGACTGAACGTCGGCGCACTATATCTTTGCTCTGCACGCCGCCTCGCAGCTACGCCATCCGCGCCTCCGGACCTTCTGCAGAAGCGATGGTCGCTTCCCGCAGTGCGGCCCTGGATCCAACATAGCCACCCTGGAAGCACAATTGCCATACTCTGCTCCGCAAGCGGACCCCTTCCTAAAGCCTCTTTTCGGGCCAGTTTGCCGACCGGCGTCGTCTGCTAAAGTTCGAGCGGCATGTTGTAAATGTTTTTTCCTCAAGCGCTTCAAAATCCTTCCTCGTTTTATTTTTTTTTTTTTTCGATGTTTGATTTTAAGGATTTTTCACATTCACAAAACGAATACCTTTCAAGCCTTCTTTGATACAAGCAAACAGAAAATAAACACACGGGTCGAGGCCCGGTGGATACAGGGGGTGGAGAAGCGGTGGCATGGCCATTTTTGTTTAAAAATTGTTGCACTGACAAGGCAGTGTGTGCTGAGGTATTGTCGTGATGAAACCTCCACTCCCCCCTTTCCCTCATATCGGGGCGTTTCTGGCTCACTGACTTGCGTAAGATTCGCGAAATTCCCAGGTAAAACACCTGATTAACAGTTCCACCGGAAGGTACAAACTCAGAGTGAACAATGCCCGAATGTTTCAAAGTTTCCATCAGTTGAGGAGGTTGAGGGTCGCCCTGAACAAGACTGGTCGTCGATGAATTGTAGTTCTCCGGCCTTGAAGCGAGAAAACCACTAGTAGATTTGCGATTTCTTAGTAGCATCTTTGTTAGCTGAGCCTATCTGAAGCATTACAGGAGTTGCCGTTGCCGTTTTCCCTACACAAATGTGGTTTGTGGAGGTGAGTTATACGCCCACCATAACATAAAACGATCAGTCGTCTAATTAACTAAAATATTTTAACGTTTTAATTATAAAAAAAGGGTTCTATTTAGAAACGTACTGAGCGGTCATCGTGAACCACTAAATCAGTGAACATTAGAAAGACTCGGAGCACGTGGAAAGCACGGTGGAGCGCTAAAGTTACCAGTCGTGCAGGCTGCAGCATGAGCAAGGCTACCGGTGCGACGACGCGCTCGCGCAGTTTCTCTTCTGCGCTCGCTCAGCCAGGCTCAGCCTCGTGCCTGTTCCACGAGTGGTAACTTTAGCGCTCCTTTGCGCTTCCTACGCGCTCAAGGTCTTTATGAAAGATTGCCGATTTAGTGGTTTTCGACGACGCTCAGCAAGTTTCCAATTGTATTGTAGTTCATCATTCGACTTACCGACTAGATAATACCTATGTCCCCCCTAATGCTATAATCAAATAGCACACACAGCGTTAACGTAACTTGCGCAATTTTTTTTAACGAATTTGTTAGTAAGAATTTGTGCCCGGCACCACGAGACAAGGGCGTGCGAGGCTGTCACGTGACACCGCTGCGGTGGCGCTGCTGTAGGCACGGCGCATGCGCAGTACGGGTGAACGAGGGCTCGTGAGCGACGTACCTGATGAAGTCGCCCGAGGGGTCGGCCTTTCGTCCGAAGCGCACGGGGCAGTAGAGGTGGAAGAACTGCTGGAAGAAGGAGGAGCAGGACAGCCACATCCAGGAGCCCGCGTTGACGCTCCAGTCTGCGTCGAGCAGGAGCTCGTCGAAGACCTTCATGCCCTCCTCCCAGGAGAGCCACAGGTCGCCGCGGGTGAGGAAGCAGGCCACGGCGTAGCGCGCCACGTGGTGGATCCAGCCTTCCTCCCGCAGCTGTCGCATGATGGCGTCGATCCACGGGTAGCCCGTCTGGCCCTGCACACGCCCGAGTGGCGAGGATGGGCTCGGTGTTGCAACCTATCCAGCTCGTCCTTCCAGGTTGGAGTTGCAAAGTATTCTTTTTGCTGTTTGATATTCATCTTATTAAATGCGAGAGCATGAATTGTCCCATCGTGCGAAGCCGGCGGCGTCTGTAGCCGTTGTCTGTAGCAGCGAAAAACGACACCTAAAGGTCCGTAACAGCGAAAAACGACACCTAAAGTTTCGTAGCAGCGAAAAACTACACCTAAAGTTCCGTGACAGCGAAAAACGACACCTAAAGTTCCGTAGCAGCAAAAAACGACACCTAAAGTTCCGTAACAGCGAAAAACGACACCTAAAGTTCCGTACCAGCGAAAAACGGCACCTAAAGTCCCATTGGCTGCGGCGCGTCATATCAGATGTTTCGTCGAGGAAGCCGGCGCGACCGCTCGAGGTCAAAGTGAACGCGTTGACGGGCTTAGAAATAAAACACAAAGAAAAGCACAGCAACGCAGGTGCCTCTCTCGGAAGCCGGCGGGTGCGCTCAAGGTCGAAGCGGACGCGCTTCACAAATAAAAGCACAACCAACGCAATGCTTCGTTACGGAGGCCGGTGGGATTCGCCGCGCCTGCGCAGTGGGGGAGCCTGATGTCACCGTCGGAGCGCCCTGTGCGAAAGGAAGACGTGGCACGCTGATCGTAGGAATGCGTTTTGTGGAGGAATAGTTTCGCATTCCTACACGTAAACGGTTTTAAATGTTTCTTTAGATTTTCTTGTTTTGTTTGTTTATTTGACCCTTTAAGAGAATTGGGTTGCCAACATAAGGCTGATGGCCCGTATCCATATGGGTATGCATGCGGCTGTTTGAAATGTGCCTTAGTCTTCCCTCTGCCGTCAAAATAAAGAAAAAAAAGTTGCGGCACGGGTATACTTTTTTATTGGGGACATCAACCACGCAAACAGCACGACTTTCCTCCTAGTCTCCTCGCCGTCGTCTCTTCCCATTTTCTTTTTTTCGGGAGATTGGGGACCGACAACAATAGGGGAGACCTTGAGGACAGCCAGCAGAGCGTGCGAGTGGCCTTCCGAACCCACATGATGAGCACGCTCGAAAGGTAATCTTCAGGGAGGGCGGAAGTAAAAAAATTTCCTCCGCCAAAATTGAAGACAAAATATTGTCACAAGGCGGATCGAAATTGGGAGAAAACCTCTTTTCAAGTACAGGAAATGATGTGCCTGCAGAAAACGCGTCCTGTTTGGACAGCTTTACACACATCTGTAACAGCCCCAAGGGGCTAACCCAGGGGTGCACAAGATACGGTCCGCGGGCCGCATGCGGCCCGCGTATGCTTTTCTAGCGGCCCGCGGCCCGGCTCGGCGCAGAAAGTTGCTTACATTGCCATTGAATCCACCGAGCGCCTGCTCTGCCTGGAAAGCCGAAGTGAAGCCCTGTGCCCTACTTTTCTCCGTCTTCAGCGAAGGAACTACTATTTCTCAGTTCAAGTTTTCTCTCTCCACTAAATAAAACAGCGTGTGCAGCCGTCCCTGTCCATGGTGGGGTCTCAACATGTATGTACACGGAACGCCTTGCAATCTCTCAACAGATCTCCCCCTCCCTTTCACCACAGAGGCTATCCACCCTCTCCCTTCCTGCTGGGATAGTTAGGGATTGTATCGTTGGATGGGAGGACTCAGATCCGCCGATGCAGCTGGAGCTAACCGACCTCCAGTGTCCTCCAGCGCTGAAGACAATGCATCGCGAATCTCAGCTGCATGAGTTCTACAAAACCCTGGACAAGAACAAGTACAAGAACCTGGTGAACCACGCCTTGAAAATGCTGTTAATTTTTGGGGAGCACGTATTTTTGTGAACAAGCCTTCTCACTGATGATGACTCTCAACATGAACTGCCTTCGTTCTGCCATGGCGGACATGGTATTGAGAGATGTGCTAAAGACGGCAACGAGTGCGATGACACCCGATATCGGAGAAGCCTGATCGCAGCCAAAGTATGCAACACGTCGCACTAGATGCGGCCCGCACAGTTTTCTATATGGTTATACTTTTGGCCCGCCAATTTTTCAGTTGTGCACTCTTGGGCTCACCCCTTCTTGACAAAGGAATGCGACACTCGGAATTAACCCTTGGGATGCCACATACAAAAAACAAACTTACACCCCTAAAAATGTTTTTCGGTTTCTCCCAGGGCTAACGTTCTAGCAGCAGCTTGCCAGCCTGAACTTTATATTGCGAAATAAATGTGCTGAAAGGGTGCAAATGGTTGGGGCTCGTAACTTTTTAACACCGTTTAAACTAGGGCTGGGCGTCGATTAAAACTTAATCGTCACCTTTTAATCGATTAATTATACGATTAATCGATCCCGTTCATTTTCTTTTTTTTTGCTGAATATGTGACGAACGGCGGAATACACGCTTTTCATTTCGAGTCACTCTCGATGTGTAGTTGATAATTCTTCAAAGACAGTCAAACTCTCCGACAAGAGCGACCTCCATTGATTGTTCACAATAGTCTCTGTTGCGCTAAACGGACACCCGAACGGCGTTGAAGTGATTGGGATACGAGTTAAAAATCTCGCCCCTACTGTTTAGGATAAAATGTTACCTAAAGTTCCATTAGGGTCATAGCAGAGAGGGTAATAGAGAGAAAAGAAATGCCCTCCCCCTCTCATCCGCATATCGTGCTCCGCCAAGTGGGCTGTACCTAGCATCCGGCTGGCGTACAAACTCTGTTTAAAATCGCGTCATTTTGAAAATTTCAAGCGCAGATGCCTAGATTTTGGTATGCCAGTTGTCGTGTAATACTATGCTAGATAAAAAGACTAACAGGGTCCCCTTGCGCTGTTACCTGCGTGCAAAAAATAAAAAAGAAAAAAAAAAGATAGGGAACACTGTGTCAGATTGGCCGGTCTCTCCGGCGAAAAGCAAATCCGGTTGCTGTGCAATGGTGGAGGCCTTTAGCGACCGTGAGTGGAAGTCTGAAATAATAAATAAAAAACGTGCTCTCCTGCCGTAATACACGCAGTAGTTGAGGGTAGTCCTGCCGGCTGACTCAACTGCTATTTAAGTAACGGAGAAAAGATATGTTAGTTGATCATTTACCGAAATAGAACAACAGAGAGCTCTAGGCTGATTTTGGAGTAGCCATAACTATTCTTTCTAAGAACGCGAATCACTTAACAACGGCAGCCACGAGCGAGAGTTCGATGTTCCGTACAGCCCGCCGGTACGGGCCAAAGATGGAGAATGGCAACCTCCCGTTTTGTCGTCTGCTAGCGGAGTCGGGCGCGTGCCCTCTCTCTCGTTTTACCCCGCCGAACCCGCTGAATTTCCCGGATGTATGGAGACGGCGCTGCTGCCGAAGAAAATGGCGCCGCCCATGAGAGCGCTATACTTCGTTTCAGCTTCCGTCCGAGCGCAGCCAAAGGCTGAGGGACGGTTCGCAACTTCGAGAAGAGCATTCCTACGCACCAAAAAGTAGTCCGCAAAAGTGTTTTTTTCTAAATAACTGTTTTGTACGTAAACAGTGCACAATATTCCAGATATCTACTGCTGATAATTATTTCCAACTAAAGGAATTAAATATCTGAAGTTTATGGTTTTATTAATATATGTAAATGCATGTCGTTTGGTGAAAGCACATACATCCACTGGCAACACGGCTGCAGCGCTCAGTTTTTCTGTGTGATTTCGTTCCCGTAAAGCGCGATCCAAACCAACGCTTCTTTTTGCGCTTGTAGGTCGTGCGGCTGCGGATGTGACGCATTTCGTGGCGTTTTTGCTGTTTCCGGGCGCGCTTTCTGAGTCAGAACCGTGCGCTTTGGTTTGGACGGGCGAAACTTCGGGCGAGCGCGCACGCGCGCACGCAGGCACGAGCGCACAAGCAAGGTGCAACTGCGACAGACTGGCCGGCCAGAAGGCGAGAGAAAGAGAGAGAGAGAGATCGCGTTGTCATGTTGGAAGAGAATAAAAGGGGGGGGGGGGGGGGGGGGGGAGGAGAGGGCAGCCAGACGGCGAGAAACGCGGAGCCGGATCTAGCTTGCCCTCCACCGATTGGCCGGGACACAGGAGCGCCCTACTACGTCACCGCGCGTTTTTGTGCGCGTTGAGAAAGAAGTTGAAATCAACCAACTTTTTTATGCGCGCCCGGAAGGAGCGAAGAAGCGGCGCGACGTCACGAAAATGCGTCACATCCGCAGCCGCACGACCTACAGGCGCAAAAAGAAGCGTTGGTTTGGATCGCGCTTAATGGCCGAATCATGTGCTTCGCTGCTTTCCTCACCGAGTCGCTTCAAAACGTCCTTTCGGAAAGGTACGTTTGGGCGTCAGGCGCGAGAGGTCGTGATGAATGTCTGCTTTCGAATTCTGCAGGAGACTCCGGCCGCATCGTACCGCGAATGCGTCGTAAACAAGAAAAGCGTCCGGGCCACTACAATTCACTGATACGCGGCGAACTCAGGGCACCCCTTTACCTGCCGATCACATTGAACGCCGAGAAGCTGGTGAGTGAAAAGGACTGCTCCTCGAGGCCTGGTATATGCATACAATACAAGGAAACACCAACGGCCGGGTCATCGGGCACCTTGCAACCTGTACTTACATCTCCAAACTATGCCGAACAGGTGGAAAACTCCGACACAGACGGCAGCGGCCAGCCTACGTACTGACATCCCCTGTGACTAAATTTCAGAACGTGAAAGGGCATTTTTTAAACCTGTAGCAGACGATACCACCCGTAGCAGACGAAATACTCGGCGGGCGCGGACGACCAGCGGCGCAGCGGAGTGATACAAAGTTGCAGGCGAGATCGCGTGACTTATTGCCGGCGTCTGATTGGCTCTGGCCACACGTAGCTTTGGCTGCGCTCGGACGGAAGCTGAAACGAAGTTATGAATGGAATGGTCTATAGGTGTACTTGTCCACGCCTGCGTGGTAAAAGCGGTAAATTTGTACTTTCTTTGGTTCGTCAAAATTTTACCGATTAATGGGTTAAAAAATTAATCGCAATTAAGTCATGAATTGATTAATCGGTATACGTTAATCGGTCAAATCCCCAGCCCTAGTTTAAACATGTTCAATATGTAGCTTTGACCAGCATCAAATTTATTAAGCTTTCATAATACAAGTGCAACACCTGCGTTCACTGTGACTTTCGGCTTCACAAGTTGTAGAGGTGTTATAGAATTTACAAATAACAGAGAGCATACGATGCCGAGCTGATAAACTTTTAACTTCTTCAAAAACGCCGAAACCAAGGCCTCCTTTTTTTATTATAGGTTTTTGATATTTAACGTGTTTCGAAGGTGCATTTCACTACCACTTCAGCTTCTTAGTTGGTGAACAATATAGGGAGTATCCACAGGACGCCATATTTGTGGGTGCTGTTTAGAGCGCATGCTCAGAACGAGCTCACATTACTAGGCTGCTAAGACCGGCACTCTTGATGCGGAATGCACGTTGCCACAAAACTGTGGAAGCTCGCCTTCAGCACACGCCCAGCATTCGCGCATACAGCTATGGTCGCCAGTGAATACTACCTATACACGTCATGCAAGTTCGTGTGCTCTCACCTCGTGCGTCTCTTTGCCCTCCTGATGTGCTTTTGTTTCCCCTCGACCTGAACCGATAATAGGGCGCGCTTGACTCTCGCGTCATCGAGCGTTCCCGCTGCGTTCTCTCCGTTGCCCTTGATCAGCGTGCACCCTTTGCGTACGATGCGCCGAATACGCATTTGGGAGCACTGCTAATGCGTCGTGCAACAGACAGTCTGCAGACAATAGGGAGTGGGACCTTCGGTACACACTGCGCATGCGCTACCACAGAAGACTCGCATATGTATAGTTCGTACCGGAGGGCCCGTCGTACCGTATCGGACGTGCAAAAACAGTTCCCTGAAATTCCCTATTAAGGAGTTTTGCTTAGGGAGTTCTAGGGAACCTTAGGGTAGGTCTTAGGGTTTGTAGGGAGTTTTAGGGAAGCGTTCTTGCACATCCGATACGGTACGATGGGCGCTCCGGTACGCACTGCGCATGCGCTACCACAGAAGACTCGCATATGCGCAGTTCGTACCGGAGGGCCCGTCGTACCGTATCGGACGTGCAAAAACAGTTCCCTAAAATTCCCTATTAAGGAGTTTTGCTTAGGGAGTTTTAGGGAACCTTAGGGTAGGTCTTAGGGTTCATAGGGAGTTTTAGGGAAGCGTTTTTGCACATCCGATACGGTACGATGGGCGCTCCGGTACGCACTGCGCATGCGCTAGCACAGAAGACTCGCATATGCGCAGTGCGTACCGGAGGGCCCATAGTACCGTATCGGATGTGCAAAAACAGTTCCCTAAAACTCCCTCTGTCTGAGGTATTCCTTGTGTAACGGTATAAAAACCGTCTGCAGACATGTTCGAAGCACGCATATGTACGAAGGAAACGTGCTTCCAACTCGCATTCGAGGCGCGTGCGAAGGTAATTCTGTCATCGTGTGTGCAGCGAACATGGTTTCTCAAGTGTATGATGTGCGAGCAGTGTGACTTGGGCTTTCAAAAAGCGGAACGGCGGACACACCGCGGTTGTTTCGTCATTCCCCCTCGCGGGAGGGACTCACGTTCGCCCACTTTGCGAGGGCCTCGGCGTTGACGTCCCAGGGGATCTGGACGCAGATGGGGTTATTGTGCATGCGGTCGAAGTTTGGGTTTCGGGTGGCCGCGCAGTAGAAGAACTCTCGCCACAGCAGCTGGCCCTGCAGCGATAGGGGCGGGTTCGACTTCTTGATCTGGGGGCAGAGGCAGGCATGCAGCCGCTGTAGCACCCGCCGCACGAGGCCCCCAAACAACCAGCGCCACCTACCGCGCGTTTCCCGAAAGCCCCATTCCTTCGTGAAATGAATGTCATATATACATTATACATTAGTGGTGTGAACCGCAACTCGCCCAGAAGGCGTAGGCTTCTGTAACGAAAGGTTTCAAATGCTGATTTTATATAGTTGAACGAGCACGTCATTGCAAACAATATATTCTTTTACTGTCGCTACCAGCGGCTGCCGCATTTTGTGGCTTACATATTCCCTGAGCCATGTATTTCCTTTTAAATTGTTAAGGCCGAAACGTTTTCTCGCAGAATTTGCATATGACAGATATACCGCTAAAAGAAAGATTCACAATAGATTGGACACCACTCCATCAATATGCTGATATATGCGATTCATTTACTGAAGAAAGGGCACTTAGAAATGCGCGGTACAACACATGACCTGTTCGAGTCCTCCTTTTCCATTCCCAATTCACGATTTGAGCGCAGCGACCGAGCAAAAATGCTGGCCCAGCGCTTGTGGCAAATCTCCAATCGGTATTCGGATGACTGTTTAAAAGTCGTTAAAGTAGTATCCCGTTTATGTCAAGAAGTCAAGAAAAATCCCGAACGGATGCCCGCTCCCGATAGATCGCCCACCCCATATTTTTCCGCCTTTATCACTCCACCGTGAATCGGTGTTTATTTGGGATTTTACGGCATACAGTTAGTGACAAACCCAGAGAGTGTCGTCGGCCTGTGAGGTCGGGAACGTCCGGTGGAGCGTGGATTCACGAACAGATCACGTGTTGTCCGGGTGGTGCTTCCCTCAACCGACGCCCCTACCATTACCTTTCGGTAAAGGTCCGCCAGCTGATGGTAGAAGAGGCGCGCCGATAGGCAGCCGAAGCGCAAGTACGGGCTCAGTCCCGTCTGACTCGCTAGCAGGCTCTTGGGCGTCATTTTGGGACTTCCGAAGCTGGCCACCCACGCCTGCGAAGAAGAGCGTGCGTGTTCTCATCCATCGGCGGGGACAGCGATCAGCCTGTAGCAGGTTAGGAAGAGCCGGACAAACGCCTCCTAGACTGCCCTCCACTCTTTCTGCTTTAGCAGAGCGAACGCTGGGGACGAGGTGATTGGACTCGCCTCCTCGCTCGCCTCCCCTCCAGCCTTCAGTCTGCTAAAAGCGGAAAGGGCGCATGGATTTGGTGGTAGGAGCTTGTCCTCTTGCGTTTCAAAGGCCCCGCGGGCAGTATTTACCGTATTTGCCGGACAATAAAAAAAATTTTTTTTTTATAGATCGTTAAATATGACGATACGTGATGGATTTTTTTTAATGACGTGATATGTTAATAAATGGTGATTTATATAAAATACAATCTTCTTTGTAAACTAAAAAAAAAAAGCGGGCATTTGACAAGGTGTGCTGCATATGATGATTATCTTACGTCCGGCACAGTGGTGCAGACTCGCACCGGACGCGGACTATCTAAGGAAAAAAAAATATTTCTTTACGGCTGAAATTTGCTTTTCCGGACTATTCACTGGGTACGCTGTCTGAAAAAATATGCTATTTTTCATATTCCTCGCCGCAAATTTTTTTTTTTTTTATGGAGATACATTTATGTTTGCGGGCTATTCCTACAATAAAAGCATCAGCAAAATGCAGTCGGCGGATTTTTTTTTTCTTTATGTTTTAGATGATTAGGCCGAAGCGAAAACTGATGTTTCCCGCCTGTCAGGGATACATATGTTTGACCAAGTTTCTTCTTTTACTATAATTTTGCACTCACTTTTTTTTTTTTTTTTTTGGGGGGGGGGGGGGGGGGGGACACTTAAAATAAAGCTTACCTTTATGAATTAAAAATTGTTCAGGTTGAAAAAGGTTTTAACAAAATGTTAAATTTGCGATTTCTGGAAGTTTGGCAAGCTCTTGCGCGTGACATATTCAAGATTTCTTAACACCCCCGATAACTTGGAAAGCTCAGAACAAAGCGGATATGAAAGTATTTCCAGGAAAACCATATTGTGCAGGGTCGTCGTGATAAATCCGGACTTTTTTCAAGATTTCATCTCTCAACAATACAGCGAAGCTAACCGGCTGTATTTTTTTTTCACAGCTGAGGTCAATACGGTAATATATTAAAAATAGTGCAAAGATGGCGGCCGTGCATTTGCTGTCCCTATCCGGATGTTCGTCTTGGGCACACTTGTTCGTGAGCTTGCTCCGGTCATTGTTCATGTATTTAGTTGAAAAGTATTAAGTATCGCGATTATCTTGCTCGTCGCTGGCCTCTGGCATTGGTTTTTAGCGCTTTTGCGTTCAGAAAGCCACCCGGGGGCGTGCAGACGACAAACAGGCTGGTACAAGACATATGAAAAACACGGCCTCCGATTTTGCTTTATTTTTAATATTTCCCTACCTTGTAATTGAGAGATATATAACTTTTTGCAAAACTACATTCGCGTGCCCAATTTCGGGAATGTACGTTTAGGAATTCGAATTCTGTAAGGCCTGCCAAATGTACGTGTTGGTCCTTGCGGTCAACACATTTGGCTGAAGAAATAAAGTTTTCCTTGGATAGTCCGCACTCTGTGCATAGTCCACACCCCGTGCATAGCCCAAACGTAATTTTTTTTTTTTTTATATACAACACACTTTGGAAAATAACTACTTTATTAGCGCTCAAAAAAATTGGTGTCGTACAAAACTTTTTTTTTTTTTTTTTTTTTTGCCAGGAGATATTTTATGGCCTTAGAAGAATGCCCAATCAATATTTTGCTACAGCGTCACGTTAATTTTTAATAAAGTAAAAAAAAAAAAAAAAAAAACGCAACTGCTCGAAACAGAAACTGGACTTTGGACGAAGAAGAAATGTAGAGTTTTGTGTTCTCCCAAGTGTGCCTGTTTTCAATTTTTTAAAAGTATGTCATCGAAATAAACCATTCAGTTGAAAGTTACGCCGCGTCCTGTACAGTTTTCCCTTCATTTTCGTCCGTGTTGTTTTGGCGTACTACGCCATGATGCAAAACCAACTCAGCCCAGCTAGCCCATCCGTATCTAAAATATAAACTTTTAAACATATATATTTCGCGGAGTCTGGAAATTACGATATCCTGTAATGCAATCACGAAGCAGAATGACTAGACGCTACACAAGCACAGAATGCGTACCCCATTACGCTCCTTGCAAAAGTGAACATCACCATTTGGTAAAACGTTGCTCAATGTGACATCGTATATAGGTTAACTTTCGTTTGACGAAACGTCGTCGTGGAGATGGAGAATAGACCCTTTTTAATGGTGCGTGCCATTCAGTACCTGCTGTGACAATTATCCGTCATTGTTTGGGCACACATACAGAGCGTTCCAAAAAAGAATTTACAAGGTTTCTTTCACCGCGAAAATAAACTACGCATCTCCGAACGCTCATTTGTTCACCCAAATGCGCTAGAGGTTCGAACCAGATGCCAAAGTTTCAACACTAACCGTTATCTTATTTAAAAGTTATAAGTGATTTTCTGATAATTACAATGGGAAAATGGCGACCGACGGAGCTCTCGAATTCAAGTTCTATGGCGACAGAAACCGAAAACGGGCAACAATGGGCCCCATTTCCCCATTGAAAGTTTAAAAACATTTCTTATAACTTTTGAACAAGATATCGGATCGTGCTGTAACTTCGGCACCTGGTTCGGACGTCTAGCGCTACATTTGGGCGGAGAATGAACGTTGGGCGATGCATAGTTTATTTTTGCGCTTAAAAAAACCCTGTAAATTTTTCTTTTTTTTTTTTTTGGGGGGGGGGGGGGGGGGAGGGGGGGAACATCCTGTACTTCCGATTCGGTGAGGACTCTGACCCATTATAACACGCTTGGTGCCCCAAAAATGGCGACTGCCGATGTTAATTGATGCTGTTCTGAAAAGGGTCTACTGTTGTAAAAGGTATCATGCGCAGGCCTTATCTTCTAGTCTAGTGGTATTCGTGATAAGACACGTACCTTGCGTTCCAGGTGGCGCTCGAGCCTCGCTAGAGCCTCCGTCTCGCCACCAGGCCAGACGGCATCTTTGAGGTTGTCGGTGTCGAAACCTGAAGGGTTCGAAACCGAGGAAGGGTAAGCGAAGGTGCCCATTGAGTAATGCCGACCAAAGAGAACGATCAAATACTTTCCTGGGGAGTAGATCTGCCGACAGTTTTTGTGTCGCTGAAACGGCTGGACGCGCGCAACATCGGGGTTTTCCCCTTTCGATTGGGATGGGTGGCAGCCGCCATCTATCGTCGTGGAAATCCGCCGAGACAGCGGAGAAAGCCATCTCCGCTGTTTAGGCGAAACCGGTATCACGGCGTCGGCGGCCACCCTCTCCCTCGGTGCAGCGCGAAAGCGCGGACAGTGCGACGCGCACGCGTTCTCTCATGGCGAATTCCACTGGTCGTTTTGGAGCGCCGGGATCGACTCTTCTGGAGCGATCCTATTTCACATGGGCGATCGGGATCGAGACGGACGTGTTCCACTGGTCGCTTTGGATTAGCTCCCGCTCCAGATCTCGATGTGGATCCGAGAAAAGTCGCTCCGCCGATCTCGGTGGATTCAACCGGAAGCCAGCCGGGCCAGCCCTCGGCGCACACACGTGACTTCCTTTCTCGCGGGGCATCTCGCCTGATCTCGCCCATCTCGCCTCAGAAGAACTCGTAATGGCCGCTCGGGAGGTGCCGCCTGTACCGCCCGCCTTACTGATGCTGCTGCTTGACGACAGTTCGTCGTCAAGTTGCTCGAGCAGCTTCCGGCATTCCGGCATCCTGAGCCATTCCGGCGGCGGCCGCTTGTGCGTCGAACACGTGTTAGCGCCGCGATTGCGAAAACGTATTCGAATCGATCGCGGCGGCTGCAAAGAGGGAATTCCCGGGCGAGTGAATGACGGGAAGGCATCCGCCGATCCCCGGAGCAGTGGTCATATTCCGTGGGAATCCGAAGGCGGCGCGACCCCGTTCGGATCGTGTGCTCCATTCTGGATCTGGTCAACTGATCCCGGCGCGCTCCAAAACGACCAGTGGAATTCGCCATTAGACAGGGGTTTCAAAACCGCTTGTGGAGGATTTGGCGCTGAAGAGGAGCACTGACCAGTGCAAATGAGCGAAGTAGAGAATGTATGTTCCTGGTAAATTATTTAGAAGCATCGAGTTTGATTCCGCACTTTTGTTGGAGAACGGGTATACCAAATGCATTGGTTCGTAGTAGACGCAAGTGCCGATCGTCATGATTCAAAAGTGCGACTTGCTCAGCATTAGATTCGACGTTAGGAAGGTCACGTAATATTGCTTTGCTCTGTTGCGAACTGTTTAAACATTTGTGGAGGGCGGAAAAGCGTTTCCTGTGATTTCAGATAAAGCTTCAGATAACTGACAACCATGATTTTAATACCCGTGCCATATGTAACTCGAATGCCATTTACAACGAATGACAGTTGAACGATCGGCCGATCAGCGCGCGACACTCCGGGCGTGGGGCGTTCCACGCGCGACAGATCGCGAGCCGATTCGTTGATCACACGAATGTCATTGTTGCAAATGGCATTTGAGTTGCCCGTGTGGCACGGGTATAAGACAATATGACCAAGTATCGTTTCTCTGAAGCGTAGCTTATTTAGTGGCACTAGTTGCGACCTACAGACCGACTGAAAAGTCCATAAACAATGTTCACGAGAAGTTTTCACTTTTTGTTTTGTCTCGTGGTGCAAGGATAGATAATTTGATGAATTGGCAAGACCTTGCAAGTTTGGGTTCAGCTAAATTCAACTAAAGAAAGATCTTATCCAACATTATGTTTGGAATTTGCTCCTTTTCTGATTTCGAGCGATGCACCCGAGCAACATTTCCTGAATAACAACAAGGTCGAAATGCATCACCTACCGGAGTCCAGTCCGGAGCAGAGATTGAACCCGAGTGCAGTGTCAGCATTCGGTAGGGACTCGGGTCCAATCGGTGAGCAGGCGAGCAGGCGAGTCCCAGCCGAACGCTAGCGCAGCACTTGGATCCAATACGTGCCCCGCAATGGCCTCCGGCAGACGACGTAGAAAATTCAGCATTAGGGCCTGTATACGATCTATTCTAGACCTCCAGGACGCGTTCGTTGCTTCTCGCCGGGCTTTGGCTGCGCGCGTGCGACCGAGTGTCATCACAGGCAGAGAGTGCTTATGACTGGCGCGCCCTTCCTCGCGTTCCGATGCGCCGAAAACGCATCTTGGAGCACTTGCTCGCCGTATACACTCGAGCCGCGGTCACACTGCTATGATACATGCTAGAAGGTTGTCTGCAGACATATGTATGAGGCAAACATGCTTGGAACATGCGTGAGGCACAGCTAAATACTTCTGTCAACGCGTCTGCATGCGAACACCAATCGTAAGATATGTGTCGATCGTATACCGAGCTCGGCGAGGGTGGGCACAGCGAAGCGGTCGTCGTGGTCCTCGTCGATGGGCGTGCGCGACAGGGCTTCCGGGGCCGGCACGGGCGCGGGCGGCGGCTCCATGGCCACCAGGACCCCCTGGAACTGGCGGTAGGTGAGAGGCGCCTTGCCCCCGTGGCGCTCCAGGATGCGCTCGAGCGGGTACAGGGTGTGCGACGGCTCGCACACCACCGTCACGCCCATCTCGTGGGCCAGCGCCGTGATGTTCTGGTCCCGGATGGCCCCGTACGGCTCCGGGTCCTTCTCGAACGTCAGGTGCGTCACGCGCCACTCCTGCGCGCCCAGGGGGGCAGGGAGGGAGGGAGGTCACGGTCACGGAGCGCGTGCACCGACCGAGGACCGAGCAGTGTTGGGAAGTACTTATATTACGACTACAAGGAGTACATTCTCTGAGTATATGTACTTGTATACTTTACCTAAAGTATTTTTTCCAAGCACTTTCCGAAGAAAGTACAGCTCCCGACTTCAAAGTACATTCCCCAAATTTAATCTCGTTAAATTTCTGTTACAATATTATGGTTAGTCAACTTTGAAGTTACTTGATTTATTCAATTAAAATTCACCGTCATTTCCGAAAATACTTGATGCACTCCCGATTACCCTTGAAGCAATGCCCCCCCCCCCCCCCCCCATGCCAGTAAAAACAAAACAAAAACACTATAGGGGAATGGAAGGACATCGTGAGATTGTCTTAAAAAGTGTGCTTCCCTTAAAAGTACATTCTATTTATAGTACTTCACTTCAAGTACATTACATCCGGCGTACTTATTTACTAAGCACATAACGTTTCATTTACTTTGTACTTTCTTTGAAGTCCTTTTTTGGATGTACTTTGCCCAACGCCGGAACCGAGGGCGCGTTATCCGGGTGTCACAGATAAAATAACCTAAGACGTCTGTGGAACGTTGGGATATCTTGAATACCTACGTCCTCGGAACCACGTCCACTGTTCTGGTGCGTCAGGGACGCCCGCGCCGACACCGGTAGCTTCCTGTCGCCACATGGCGTACGATTCTGTAAAACGGCGATGAACTCTACTTCGTGGCGGTGGAAGATGCTGGTTGGACCAATCAGCTGCCCTCCTTTCATCAATCACGCGACGGAAAATAGACGCATGGCTGGTCCAACTGCTTCCGCCATGGTTCGGAAGCATTGACCACGAAGACTTATCATTTAATCGATCATTTGTGCGAACGTACGTTTCACAAAATAAAACCAGCGCTTAGAACAGTCCTCGACCATTCATGTGATGCTTCAAGCAAACGTGTCCACCGGTTCAATCCACGTACTCGGACATGTTTCTGTCCATGTAAAGCAAATGTGGTCATAATCAAACTTCAACGGGAAGCAGCGGTTGTGTCTGGGTAGGCAGCGGTACCGCGAGGACGCCTGTTTCATTATTCGGTCTGAAGTACGCCTTTTTGAGGGAGGGAGGGGACCCGCAGTCCGCCACGTGCAACAGCGTAATATCCAACCTAAGATCTACTGCTTAGTTTGCATATTAGCATATAACAGTCTTCTAAACATCATTAACATCTAAGGAGAAAAGAAAAACTGGAAGAACCGGCGCTAGTTTGTTCGTGCTGTGTGGCGGAGGGTACCTATAATGCTTTTACAATGTCAAATTACAGTCCCGTGACATGTCAAACACTTCGGCGTGCCAAGGAAGTGTTGATCACGCCGCGAGATCGGCGAAACATGCTTTCGACGAGTTGTGCCCTTTTCCTGCGGCACTGCGCTTTCGTGAAACTTTCCACGTGTTCTCAACGGCAAGTCTCAACGCTTATACGGGTTTTTTTAAAAACTTCTTCGGCGAATGACGACGAATGACTAGAAAACGTGTCTTCAGCACGCTGCCGCCAGCCCCTGCAACGCTAGCAAAAACGCTATTTCGCAGCGTTTCCGCAGCCCGCTAAGCACCCGGATAGCGCTCCGTAATCCGCCACACGACCTTGAACTATGCAGACAAGGCTGGCGGCGCGCATGCGCAGCTGCGGCGTTTTCTTCGCGGATACCGCAGCGGAGGAGAGAAACGATCTACTACTATTCCCTTCTGTTTCCACGCCTCAGCGCAAACTCGCAAAACAGGGACGGAACAGACGAAGGCGCACAATCCCCCTCCAACAGTCTTCGTCTTTTTTTCCTGCCTAATCCGAAAAAAATTAGATAATCTCCCCCCCCCCCCCCACACACACACACACACGCACTCTCTCTCACACACACACACAGCCCCTCCGTTTCTGGGTTGAGCGTCCGAAGATAAGCTGAGTAAAAGACGGGGCTTTTTTCTCTATTTTTTAGGAGGGCTCGGTGGCCTCTCAACTCGGAGCGTGGAGCGGAAGCTTGCGCTGCAGAACCTTTTGGGTTTGATCCCCATTCCCCGCCCGTTTCGATCTGGATAAGTTTCGTACCGTGCGGTTGTACTATGCGTGCGGTACGGATATTATGCGTGCGGTTGCACTGCACTGGCTAAATTTCTCATCTACAGCTAAGAGACAAGCCACCCGTTGAGGCGTATTAGCATTAAGGCTGTCTAAACATACAAGCAACATAATATAAATATTTTTTTTTTTTGATGGAGAGATGGAATTCTTTCGCGACTAGCGCAATCCGAACGGGTAGAATGCAGCACCTTTGGTGACACCTGAATTCGTAAAATACCCCTGTTTCAGTTCTAATTCAGCTGCGATATCCTCCTTTTATTCTTCTGGGCGTGTGCGGTTAAAGTACCCGTGAACTGGGACTGTCAATGAACGATTTTTTGTGTGTGTCCACAAGGCCCCCGACGACTATTCTGCATCTCTGAAAGTCCGCTGAGCTTTCTACTTGAAACTCCAAAGTCGCTTCCTTGTCGCCGGAACTCGGGAAGATAGCCATCGCTCACGGTGGCATTCACTTTCACCTGTCGATACCGGGCCACTCACTTTTGATATCAGGATGCCTGAGCTTTCCCTCGGGGGTTTCAAAGCAAATGAAAAACTACTTTGACACGCTTGTCTAGCAAAATATGTGGTTACTTTGTCTGACCTTCGCGCGCGAACTGGCCGACAATAAGGAATAGTCATCCTATACCATGGTGCCACTTGACGCTCTCTGATTAAGTGGTAAAAGAAGGGATTTCATGCATTCTTGGGAGAGGAAAAGCCTATTCTTTTGATAGACGGCAAGGAGTCTTCGTCGAGGTCATGAATCCACTTCCCAAATTTCCGAACAACGTATGCGCGCGCGCGCGTGTGTACCTTTTTTTTTTATGCATACGTAGAGATTTTTTTTATACATTCCCTCACATTAAATTGATTGAAAATAGGTCTGTATACAACGATCGCTTAGGGCTTTCGGGCCTCTAGCGAAAAGGATGGTGTATTATGAGTGTTATTGTGGGGACAGAATTTTGATCGCTGCCAATGCTCACTGGTTCAGCAAACAAAACTTTTAGTGTTGCCAGTAGAGCATCTCAGCGTCTCAACACCCCCCCCCCCCCCCCTTTTCTCAAAAAAAAAAAGTGACCTGTAATTTGGGTTACAAGTTTAAATCTGTCAATTAATGTGTTGAACCAATTTCGAGACAAATCAGTGACTATCAAAATTTTGCCGGGAAGCAGTGTCATATTACCGTATTTAGTCCAACGCCAGATTCGTCTTGTGTGTCTTGCAATGCCTACCCCCCCCCCCCCCCCCCCCCGAAAAAAAAATATATATACCGTATATGTTTTGTTTGTTTTAGTTTTGGTTTTTGCATGTTTCGTTCTCTTGCCGGCTTTTGCGGCCACTCGGCTCAGGGACACTTGTTGGCCGGCGCGAGCACCCCGCTTCATAAATCAATCGACGCCGAGGGACTCCGGACCCAAACAAAGGATCGGCGTCTTTTCAAGTCGGTTTCGGAACAACCGGAAACAAAAATACAAATTAGGGCCCACTCTGGTTGGGGGAGAACGAAGCCTCAGGCGCTGCTCAGCCACAAAAATCCAGACGGTGTCGCCGCCATTCGCCAGCCCTGAGCGGGAGACGTGGGAGGGGGGACACATCTTCGAATGAGGAGAACACAAAAGGATGCCCTTCCCCAAGGAAAAGACGTGAAGTGCTGTTTTCGCAACGAACCTTTCGCGACTCTTTATTTATAGGGGCAGAAAGAGGAGGGGGGTGCCGAGGCTTAGGTAAACACGTCTCAGCGAATCACGCGGTAGCCTATAGCATCTTCCAAGTTTGATTATTTACTTAATAAAAAAAAAAAAAAAAAAAAAAAACGTTGTCGATGAAACGTCGCAGGAGCATGTATCCACAAAACAAGTTCCCACGAAACACGTGTTCATAAAACGTGTTGCCCACGATACGTGTTTGGTGGGAAACGCGTGTACACAGATTGAAGATCGTCGCACACTCGTACTCCTGATTAGTCGACGGTAATAATAATGATAATAATAATAATCTTTATTGGCCCAGGAAAGGATGGACGCTCCGGCATTTCGGTTGACGGACATTTATGGCGGGCGGACGTTTTGGGGCACGTACTTTTCAGTGCATGGTTTTCGTTGTTTTCGACGCTTTAATGGGTCTTTTTACTTGCGTCTCTACGGCAATCCCACAATATCTATGAACATTTGATTTGTTTTGTGTGTGTTGGTTTTGGTTTTGTAACATCCTCTACGAGGCACATACACCGAAATGACCCCGTGCATAGAAAAGTCCATGTGGAAACGTGCTCTCACACCGGGTATTGCGAGTACTGGAAAAACCGGGATATTTCCCCTACTTTTAGACTGTGTGCAGGATACGGGGAGTCATCTCTATCATATACCCTTACCACAGACGGATCGGTCGCTGCACCTGCAACAGCCTTTCGCCCGGCGCGTGCTCCAGCGGTCCACACCCGAACTACATCTCCGGAATACCCGGGCTTTAATCTTCTTTTCATGCTAATTATTATCTCTAAATTCGAGGTAGTTGTTGTCGGTGACAGGTGAAGTGGAAGCTCCTCCCACCCCTTCCAACTTTAGCAGAACAAACGCTAGTGAAGATGTCACATCCTCTCCAGCGTTACAATTGAAAACGAGCGTGTTGGTTAATAGATACAAAACTTGAAAGTATAAAACAGAGAGGACGAGGACGGGAACAGGACATCTTTCAATTAGCAACAACATAGAATGGCACAATGATAAAACCGCCCCGCAAGGGTCTCAACGTTCTCAAAGAGGGAAAGGAGATACTAGTTATAAAGGAAAGGGAATACAATAAATAGAAAAGTTTGAAAAGCGCGTCAGTAATCTAGTTATTTTT